TACACTTTTTATTTGTGTTTGTAGTTCTGAACCGAATCCTTCCCGAAGCGCAATGGATTGTGGGCAATATTAGCCATTACCGAGTGTGCACAGATCCACACTTCAAAAATCGACCTGCAATAGTAGACCAACTGGGGGACTTTTGGCGTACTCTTTTCTGGATACTATGTTTTGGGACACGCTTCTAATCTCACATACTATTTAGGATGGATAGTAGGAACATTGAGACACAGGGGCTGTCTTTACGAATGGATCATTGAATCATTGAGTCAAATTATTTGTTCAAAAACAGATTCATTCAGGATCGAAACAATGCAGTGTTGCAGTGAGATGCACAACGTTTCTGATCCATCTTTGACTGGAACTATTTTCATTGTCGAAAAAAGACAATATTGTGTCTAAAATGCACTCAATATCAATTCATATTTGTTGAATGGTTGTATAAAATTAATATCACACTCGCTCTCGTGCTAATATTTAGGACAACTGCTGTTGCTTGTGTTTTTGTTAGTTTTTTGCAAAGTGAGTGACATCCTCAATAACGTCAGCTTGCATATCATTAAAACAACAATTACAATATTATTGCAGCAGATAAATATCACACTACCCTACCATCAGCCCAATTATTCACCCATCCAAAATGCACAGCAGTCTATCAAAGTTTATCTTAAACGGAATGAAAAAAGACAAAAACTGCTCTGCATCAATGTGGTGGACTCTTACTGAAAAACGTAAGCATGAAAATCCCATCGTTCCCAACACGCAGCTGATCCGTATCTTCAAAGCTGTCTCTGGCAATGAAGTCCTCATCCTGTAGTACAAGCACAGATGAGTCAAGACTGCTTAATTAACTGTAATTACCCCTAAAACGCTCACAAACGCTCACCCTGCCAGTGACTAGAGGAACGGTGGCCTCCGCTTTGCTCCTCTCGGCCTCGTCGTATGACGGCAGTGTCGTGGCAACATTGTATGAGGGGGGTTTGGGGTAAACCTCATCCTCTTTGTACTCAAAGAAAGCTATCAGACACACAGTGAAGCGGTTAGGAATCAGTTATTTCTGGCCTGCGGTGGTGACTGTGCAGACGTGTGTTACCTGCGTTACTCGCTGTGATGCTGCTGTACGGTGGAGGTGCGTCAGCGGCTTGTTGAATCACCTCCACTGACTCCTCCTCATTATTCAACTACACAACAAGAGAAAAACAAAGCTGCTGATGCTTAGGAAATTATATCATATTACAATATTATTTTTAATATAAGATGAATGTTATATAATATGTATGTATGTGTATTATATATATATATATATATATATATATATACACAAGACTATGTGTATAAAATGTAAGTAGCGTAAGACTGTGAGCGCATATAACTTTTTTACAAAGCAAAATATAAAAGAATGAATCATATACATATACACACATACATTTTATTTTATGTATAAATATTTTTTTAAATATACAAGTATACATAATTATATACATAAGATTATGTGTACATAATATAATTTTTAACATTTGATGAATGTAACATTTATATATATATATATACAGTGGGGCAAAAAAGTATTTAGTCAGCCACCAATTGTGCAAGTTCTCCCACTTAAAAAGATGAGAGAGGCCTGTAATTTTCATCATAGGTATACCTCAACTATGAGAGACAAAATGAGAAAAAAAAATCCAGAAAATCACATTGTAGGATTTTTAAAGAATTTATTTGCAAATTATGGTGGAAAATAAGTATTTGGTCAATAACAAAATTTCATCTCAATACTTTGTTATATACACTTTGTTGGCAATGATTTTGTCTCTCATAGTTGAGGTATACCTATGATGAAAATTACAGGCCTCTCTCATCTTTTTAAGTGGGAGAACTTGCACAATTGGTGGCTGACTAAATACTTTTTTTCCCCACTGTATAATATAATAGTATACATAATTATATACATAAGACTGTGTATATAATGTTATTTTTAATAAAATATTAATATAAAATTCATACAAACTAAAATAACGAAAAATGAAATCATATATAACAAAGAGTGAAAAATTTAAGGGGGTCTGAATACTTTCCGTACCCACTGTATATAAACCCACACACGTTAAATATACAAGTATACATAAGATTATGTGAACAATATTATTTTTAATATAAGTTGAATGTAGCATTTTAATTCAGAACAACATAGAAATACAGATATGCTCAATCAACACTGTTTTATCAAGAGTTAAATATCACTGCAAACAACACTTGATCAGAATTATACATGATAAAGTACGAACAGTGTACTGTATTAATATTAATATTCTTTAATACTGAACTGCTCGTAGTTCCGGTTTGTTGTTGTTGCCGCGCGCTGAAGGCCGCGGACGCAGCGGCTAACCAGCTAATTAATCCATCGGAGTTTATCCGAGAAACATTACAGTTTAGAGCCCGAGAAACGATTATCAAAACCTCATCGACTCGACATACGTCCATAAACCCCCCGAAACCACAGAAACACACCTCAGAAACCCAATGGTGTTTGTTAACGTTGCGTTACCTGCTGATATCCACTCCTCTGGTCTGTCATTCTTCCGCGTCGGTCTGCTGTCACTTAATCACTCACACAGGAGCAGCGAGCACTCGTTTAACCTAACCTTTACTTAATCTCAAAAACGGGCTGTTCCTTAATGAAAAGCTTCTCGTGTGAAGACAGACTGACGGTAACGTTACTTGGCTAATCTATACTAGTCCAAACAATGGCGCATGCGCATGCGCAGTCGGTTTCGGCGCAGGCTCTGTCTCAAAGCGTAGTGTGCTGCCTATCTAGACTGCACTTCAGCCGCTAGAGACGCGCTCCGCACAGCTGTCTACTTGGGCAGCTCACTAGGTTTTGAGCAAAGCCCGTTGGTGTGTTTATGTCAGTGCAAAGACTTGTTATGTAACCAATTAAAAGAGTTTCCATTAGTAAACTGTTGAACTAAAAGTACCTTTGAACTTGTCTTCACAATGCCTAGAGATCAGTTGTCATTGTCTGGAGTATTCAGTCCCAGTACAGTAATGAACACTGTAGGCTAGATGTAGTGAGGCTGTAATATTTGATTCTGGAGGGTTATTGTTGCTCAGTCAGTCATGCATGGACTTGATTACACTGAACTGCCTATTGGAAATGTTTTTGACTTTTTACTCACATGATGGGACACACAACACACAACACTATTTATACACCCATGCACTTATTTATCTAACATGCACACTTAGTCGACACTTCAGATTTGCACATAATATACCTGTACATACAAAACTGTCTATTGTAATATACCTGCACACACAATTGTCAATTTATATATTGTTATATATACTTTTTTATTCTTGTCACGGTCACTCTGTTACACTGTGGAGCTTCTGTCATGAAAACGAATTCCTCGTATGTGTAAACATACCTGGCAATAAAAACTCATTCTGATTCTGAAACAGATCTTTAGTCTAATAGAGTTTCGCGCAGTTACAAATATAATATAAGTAGAGTTAAATATGTCGTTGCTGTCCTCCACAAGGGTTGTCATTGCTAACTGAAATAAGCTGAAATAAAATAAAATATAAATATTAGATGAAACTTTTTTAAAAATCAAAATGAAATCAAACTAATTTATTTCAAAATGACATTTACATTATATTTACATTTAGTCGTTTAGCAGACGCTTTTATCCAAAGCGACTTACAAATGAGAACAATATATATAATGTGTTTTAAAGAAGTCTCTTGGCTGCTTCTATTTGACCAAAAATACAGGAAAAACTAATATTGTAAAATATTATTACCATTTAAAATAATGATTTTCTATTTTAATATACTTTATGTCTGTGATCAAAGCTGAATTTTCAGCATCAGCATTCAGAAATCATAATAATATGCTGCTTGATTATTATTTTTTTGGAACCTGTGATACTTTTTTTCAGAGTTATTTGATGAATAAAGTTAAAAAGAACAGCATTTATTCAAAATAGAAATGTTTTCTAATAATACAAGTCTTTAGCACTTTTTATTTAACAAGTGAATAAAAGCATTAATTTCTTTTAAAAAAGAAGAAGAAATACTGACCCCAAACTTTTGAATGGTAGTGTACTGTACATTGTTAGAAAAGATTTCTATTTTGAATAAATGCTGTTCTTTTGAACTTTTTATTCATCAAAGAATCCTGAAAAAAGTTTCACAGGTTCCAAAAAAATATTAAGCAGCAAAACTGTAATAAATCGGTATTTAAGAATGATTTCTGAAGGGTCATGTGACGCTGAAGTAATGGTGCTGAAAATTCAGCTTTGCATCACAGGAATAAATTATACTAAAATAGAAAATCATTATTTTAAATTGCAATATTTCACAATATTACTGTTTTTTTTTTCTGTATTTCTGATCAAATAAATGCAGTCAGTCATGATGAGCAGAAGAGTCTTCTTAAAAAAAACAAACATTACAAATCTTACTGATCCCAAACTTTTGAACGGTAGTGTATGTATATATATATATAAAATTAAATTAACAAGAACATTTTAACAAGCTAATATTAATAAATACTGTAATAGAATAGAAATAATACCTATCATCAATACCATATCAGTGGTATAATACCAATACCATAATACCATATCATCAATTCAAAAGATAAGTATTTACTAATAAAGTACTGAGGCCTGGTTTCACAGACAGGGCTTAAATTAAGCCAGGACTAAAGGGTTAGTTCACCCAAAAATGAAAATTAGCCCATAAATTGCTCACCCTAATCCTACAGAAATTGAACAACTTTAGAACAAAAACACTGCATACTCTTCACTTTATGAATCAAAAATGAACTGATTCTTAGTAAATATCCGAAAGTGATTCAGTCATGAGCAGTGAGTGATTTTCTCTGTCTTTTGTTAAATTGACATTAATGACACAGGTAAATTAGGCTGCTGTCCCTTTAAGACTGACTGCGCAGATCCAATATACTGAAACACATCCAGTTTACATTCATTTAAGCCATAACCGACTGGGTTTATGTGAATACTCCACACGACGGGCATTTTGACATAATTATGTGTATTTGACCATTCAAGCGCAATAAGATGCGAAAGGGAACTGAATTCGCAATCGCGCACTTAGAGAGGTGCGTTCTGTGCGCGTGCTTCGGCTGTATGTCAGCGAGCGAGAACTGCATTGAGTTCTTTTTCACTGCTTATTGCTCTTCATAACTTCATTAAACATCATGCACATGCATTTGCTATCGCGTGCCGTGCATTGAGATGTTCACTGCTTATTGCGTTTAGTAACTATTTAACATCATGCACATCCCACTCTTTATTTTCTCATTCATGCATGATTCTTTACCACTCTTAGGTCAGGTGTATGTAACATTTAAGTAGTACTGTGCTACGTGGATATACTTGCATACCACGAAATAAACGATACAGCAAAATCTTTAACGAGAGACACTTTCTACCGTGGTTACGATATATACCGTCATACCTCCCAGCCCTACCACGGTACTTTGATCTGTACCATGCTGCTGAATGATGAACAAACTGCGACTGACCCGTGTTTTGGCCTGTATCTCTGTCGTTTTCACCACAGGCTCCACGGCGAGACTCTGTTTACTTTGCTGGTTCATTTTGCTGTTCATCCAGATCATGACATCGTTCACCATCCTGTCCACCTTCTGAACCTCAGCCTCCTCCAGATGGTCATACTGCTCTTCCTGTAATTCAGAAAGACACGTGAAGCCACTGTGTACTAGGTAGGTGCAAAACCTTAAGGAACATTTATCCAGCACAACCACACCTTGGTTTTGTAGGCCTCTACAATCTTCATGTATTGCTGCAGCTGTCTGCCCAACTCATCAAACGCTTTGGGTCTCTCCTCAAACTCTGTGTATCTGTCTTGAATGGGTTGGCCAAGACTCTGCAAGAACATTTTTAATACGTTAACAAGCCCAAAATACATCATCTTTCTAAATGCAAAACCCAAGTATAATTAGCAATGTCAAACGAACCAGTACTTTGCACTTAGTGGAAATAATTTGGTGCCTGAGTGCTGTTTGTTGATTGTGTAACTGGCATGGTGAGCTATACATAAATTATAGACCTCAAAAGATGTTTAGTACCTTCAGATCAACCAGTTTATCAATGTATACTTGTTTAGGCTGGTCTTCACCGTCCTCATACAGCCAGACCTCGGTGTCCTCCAGTTTTAATGAGAGAACATCTCTGTCCTGTAAGAGAAAGCAGACGGCAGTCAGGCACTGCTGAAGTTACTGCTAACTAAAACTATTCAAATAATTTTCGTTAATTCAAATGAAGCTGAAATAAAATATACATAGTAGATGAAAAACTTAAATGAAAAGCAGAAATGCTGCTTAACTTAAATGATACTAACTGAAATAAGTTGAAGTACTAAAATTACTAAAACCAAAATAAAACTAGATATATAGAAATATTTCAAAAAAATTTAACAAAAGCAAAATTTAAACTTAATATAAAATTACAATTTAATATATAAAAATAAAAGGCAATTAAAAATATTAATAAATACTATGATAATATATATCCATTATTAATTAGTCAATTTTTTGTGTGTTTTTGTCATTTTTAGAATAAAATAAAAAAAAAGTTTATACAGTTTATATTATTTATGTTTTATAAGTTTAGTTTGTTATTTTAGAACATTAAATTAAATACAGCATGGATCAAGATAATCCATTTTTATTACCTGCACAATAACAATAAAAGTCTGTGATCTTTAGATTAAATATTGATATAAAACACCTTCTGACCTTCTAATGAATGTCTAGAAATGTTCCAGTCTTTTGTGATTACTAGACAAGGATTTCAAAATAGTTTCATGCAGATATTTCACTGATGAGAGCAATTTCTTTTACTTCATTTATATAAACTGCTTCGAGATTTCTCAAGACATTTCGCAACTTGTAAATATCTTAATTTAGATTTAAGCCATGTGACTGCTCTCACGCTGTCGTTGACGAACTTCTCGAATATCCCGTGCAGTTTGTCCCTCATCTCGTACACATACTCCTCCACATAGTTCTTGGCATCGTTCCGCTCCTTCTCAAGCTTGTCCTGCACGATCATCTTACCCTGAGGAAAAATGATTTCACACTCGATTGAACTCACTGTTGAAAATGTTTCCCCAGTTTTTGCCTGCACAGAAAGCATACCTCGCTCTCCACAAAGAGGTTGAGCATGTCATTGGCTAACTGCCACTGTGGGTTGTTCTCGATGGGCAGCTCCAGGACCTTTGTTTTCACTTTGGCCTTCTTGGCTTGTGGAGGCTGATCTGATTTCTTCTCCTGTTTGCCTTCCTCTGCTGATGTCTGAACAAATCACAATCCATGGAGGGAACAATTAGGGCGTATGAATTAGGGGCGTGTGATATTAACAAAATTATCTCTCAATATTTATTGGGATTTTTTCGATAACGATAATAAAACAATATTTTACTGAGTGTGTTTTTGTGCTGGTATCTTGGCTGGTTTAAGCCTGTAATAGATAAATAAATGTAACTCTAAAACCGCCAGTAGGTGGCAGCAAGACCCTGTCTTAAAGGGATCGTTCACCCAAAAATGAAAGTTACCCCATGATTTACTCACCCTCAAGCCCTTCTAGGTGTCTATGACTTTCTTCTTTCAGACGAATACAATCAGAGATATGTTAAAAAATGTCCTGGCTCTTCCAAGCTTTATTATAGCAGTGAATGGTGGTAGAGATTTTGAAGCAAAATGAAGTGCATCCATCATAAAAAGTGCTCCACACGACTCCGGGGGGTTAATAAAGGCCTTGTGAAGTGAACTGATGCATTTGTGTAAGAAAATAATTTGTCTGAAAGAATAAAGTCATATACACCTAGGATGGTTTGAGGGCGAGTAAATCATGGGGTAAATATAATTTTTGGATGAACTATACCTATACTGAGTGATTCATTGAATCATTCATTCAAATGATTCATTCAAAATAGCTGGTTCATTTAGAAGCACTGTCTTTATGAATGGATCATTGAATCACTGACTCTAAAACAGATTCATTCAGGAAGGAAACACTGCAGTGATGCTCTGAGACGCACAAATGTTCTGCGCCGGCTTTGATTGGCACTATTTTAATTGGTGACAGAACAGACAATATTGTGTCTAAAATGTAACTCACTCAATATTAACTTCTTGTTTGTTGAACGGTTGTATAAAATGAATAATCACATGCATTCTAATGGGCTTCATCATGATTTTAGACTTTAATGACGTGTTTTTGCAAAATGAGTGACATCAGCTTGTCATATCCTTAAAACAACAATTACTATATTACAGACAATAAATATGGCACACCTCTAGTATGGATGGTAATCAGCATCAGGGCTGGGTAAAAAATATAGATATCTCGATATTAATCGATTCTCTTTTTTACGGAACGATATCGATTCTTAAATCCCAAGAATCGATTAGTCTAGCCTGTTTTCAGTTAATGGACGGAACATTGAAGAGCACTTCCCATCCAATAAATCGCAATAAGCATCGTCCTTTGGTGCTTTTAATATGAAAAAGTCTCAGATTTCAAATTCTGTCCATTGTATTGCAGTATTTAAACAATAAATGCCATTTTGGCGCGGTTTAATGTGGAGCGACAGATCGCTGTAGCGCCTCGATCAACAGACGCGGCAGCGCATGGCGCATATGAGCTGATCATCTCCTAGACAATAAATATGGCACACCTCTAGTATGGATGGTAATCAGCATCAGGGCTGGGTAAAAAATATAGATATCTCGATATTAATCGATTCTCTTTTTTACGGAACGATATCGATTCTTAAATCCCAAGAATCGATTAGTCTAGCCTGTTTTCAGTTAATGGACGGAACATTGAAGAGCACTTCCCATCCAATAAATCGCAATAAGCATCGTCCTTTGGTGCTTTTAATATGAAAAAGTCTCAGATTTCAAATTCTGTCCATTGTATTGCAGTATTTAAACAATAAATGCCATTTTGGCGCTGTTTAATGTGGAGCGACAGATCGCTGTAGCGCCTCGATCAACAGACACGGCAGCGCATGGCGCATATGAGCTGATCATCTCCTCCACATTAATACCAGTTTCAGCACAAAATAAACATGACTAAACATCCGAAGGTAAGTTAAAAGAAAGAGGACAACTTTACAAACCGTATCCTGTCTCATGTAATCTCTCAATCAGTGTTTCAGCCGCGCAAAGACATCAATATAACGGCTTGTAAACAATGTCACGTAACGTCACATTGACCTCAGAAACAAACATATTCTGTGACCATAAACTCATTAGTCAGCCAGAAAAATAAACTGTAATTTTTTACTGTTTAATTTATGTTTGAATAAATCCATCAATTTTTTATGACAGCCACCATTTAAATGTTTATATTTAAAAAAATAAATAAAAATGAATTGAAGTAAAAATATTATTATGTAATTGTAACTTTATTATTTTAAAAACTTCATTAAGTGTAATTTTAGCAGTTGTAGGCTATAGCTTACAAATCAGTCAATTTTGTAATGTAGTAGCAAATGACTCTTGTGTATATTTTACAGCATTAGAGGAGATTTTTTTTTATTCCTTGAGGAAAATTTGGCATGTACTGTACATCCAAAATAAATGGTTCTTTGGGAAGACCTCACAGTCGCTGAAATGAAAAATGAAAGAGCAGTGTAAATAAAAACAGAACAGTATCAAGCATGACGACTGAACGTTACATGTTTGTACCTGACTCCATCTTCAGCTGCAGAATTCCACTTCAGAGAGATGGGAAACGGAACCACGTCTGTTGTGGAGAACTCACGCACTTTAAAAGCAGGGGAGAGGATAGCGCACTGTGGGATCAGGAGACAGAGCCAATGAGGAGGGGAAAAAACACTAAGGCTGCATTTACATTACATGGTTCAAGTGGCACAATTCAGATTTTTCCTCTCATGTGGCAAAGATCGGATATGAACATGAATGTTTAAGCAGGAAAAAAGCACATGGGTTCTGATATTCTCCGATCAGTTTCAGGTGGAAATAAATCAGATATGAATCTGATATGTGCATTTGCGTCTGCAGATCGGATATTCACATCAATGAGTCATACATCGCTGAAAAGATTACGGTGGCGATAGATGTCGACTCAGGTGGACAGGGTTGCCAAGTTGGCTACTTTTACACTGTTGCCACATGTTGTTTTAAGTTTGTGGGTTGAAGTGATCTCCTCTTCCCTGGAATGTGATCCCAACGGAGAGGAAAACTGCGGAAAACGCGATTGGGCTAGTTTTTATTATCAATCAGGCTGGTTTTGTTTCGCAGACCTGCCAACCCTGTTTCTAGGTTGTTTCGCCAAGTGTATAGTTTGAATGCAGATATAGGTTACTTTTAAAAGAAGATGTGAGCTGGTCATCAAAAGAATCGAATATATGCAACAAATCAGAATTGGGCATCAAGACCTGCAGTGTAAATGTGGCCTAAAAGGTCACAGCTGTTCTCAAACCCAGTCTTGTTAAACTATGAGTCAGCAGAGGAAACGTAACCTGACCTGAAGGGCACATCCTCTGGCCACAGCCTCATCTGCATTCAGCGTCGTGCTGGGCTCCTTCCCAAAGAACTTGTTGATTCTTTCTTTGATGGCTGGCATTCTAGAGGATCCGCCCACTATTTCTACAGCATGGATGTCATCTTTCTTCAGATCTGCAGAGGAGCAGGTGACAGACGGTTGAATTAATCATTTCTATGACATATGTGGACCCTGGAGCACAAAAGCAGTGTTAAGTCTCTGGGGTATATTTGTAGCAATAGCCAAAATTGCATGGGTCAAAATGAAAGATTTTTCTTTTATGCCAAAAATCATTAGGATATTAAGTAAAGATCATGTTCCATAAAGATATTTTGTAAATGTCCTACCGTAAATATATCAAAACTTAATTTGATTAGTAATATGCATTGCTAAGAACTTCATTTGGACAACTTTAAAGGTGATTTTTCCAATATTTAGATTTTTTTGCACCCGCAGATTCCAGATTTTCAAATAGTTGTATCTCGGCCAAATATTGTCCTCTCCTAACAAACCATACATCAATGGAAAGCTATTTATTCAGCTTTGAGATCGTGTATAAATCTCAATTAAAACAAATTGACCCTTATGACTGGTTTTGTGGTCCAAGGTCACACATAGCCTTATTCTCCAAGGAAGGGTCATTACTTACGAGCTTGCTCCAATAGACTGCGCAGCGGAGGCTCCACTCGGGCTAAAACATCAGCACACATCTCTTCAAACTGAGCCCTGTTGTATAAAACAATATATAAGCTCAAAATGAACTACTGTCAGGATGACTGCAGTTGATGGGAATGTATGAATGTATAACAAGCTGTGAACTAAATGGTCATTATAAACCCTATATGACTTGCTGAAAGAATCACTGTGGCACTCAGATCTCATTTGCATGCTGTTGGTTAAGGCTCAAGACTGAATATGCAAATGAGATATGAGTGATGGGCGAGATTCAGGATTTTGAGTGGTCTTCTTAAAGGGATGGCTCACCCAAAAACTTGAATTCTGTCATCACTTCATGTCATTCCAAACCAGATTTTCATTCATCATCAAAACACAAATGAAGATATTTTTAAAGAAACCTGAGAAATGTCTGTCCCTCCCTTGAAAGTCCATTATATCAAAACTTCAAAAATTCAAAAAAGATTACAGAATCACTTTATATGATAAACAGATTACATTTTTTACTTTTATTCACATATAAACGTTTACAATGTCTTTATGAATTTTTGGTATAATGGACTTAATGGAGGGACAGAAAAAGTACCTTCATTTGTGTTTTGAAGATGAATGAAAGACGTGTGACAGCGTATCCGCAGGATTATTAAAATCTAATTTAAGAGACTTTTTAAAGACCTTTTTAAGACCTGCACAAATAAAATGAATACCACATGAGCGGGGTCTATGGTAACATTTTAAACTGTAAAATGACCGTGTACAGTTCAGATACAGGTTTTCACAAAAACAAAAAGTTTAATAAATGATAAACAGCCTTTAAACCATTTTTAAGAAAAGGGAGAGTCAAAAGTATCAATTACTATATTAATTTAAACCATGATCATCAATCAATCAGATTAATTTAATAAAACACACATATCTTAGTGTCTTAAATGTTTTAGATTTGTATAATGCATTAGCTTCTTGTCGATCCACTGGTTCACATTTACAACCGTGTAAAAATATGGGTCAATTTTCACACTGATCTGAACAAAAACAGCAGACGGGATGATTGAAAATGCTAATTCATTCTCTGCCAGCAGGTGGCGCTTTCAGAAAAGCAGAAATAATGCGGTAATCGCAGTACACAAAGCAGCAGCACCTGACTTTTTTTAAACCTGCAGCGCTCATATTTAATCAATGAAATCATAGCCAATTCTTGTCTTTTCGTCCCCAAATTTAAGACCTCTTGAAATCATAATTAAGACTTTCTCGTACCATTTAAAACCTTTTATGGCTTAAAGTTTATACAACTAAATTTAAGACTTTATGAGACCCGCGGAAACACTGTGACACGAGGTTGAGTAAATTATGATTTTTTTTTAGTGAACTATCCCTTTAAGACTTGTAATGTAGCACACAAGTCGTATGGATTACTTTAACGTTAATGATGTTTTGTAACCCTGACAACCCGTTTCTTGACCTATGAAAAAGAGCAGGTTGAAAACCCATCCAAAAATCCAGCTTTTTTTTTGGTCCTCGAAACAAAGAAAATCATACAGGCTTGGAACAACATGATATGAGAACATGTGATTGCAAGTGCTGGTTTCATTTCAGCTGAGATTAAATAACTGCGTACCTGTTGAGTTTGCCGGAGACATCGATATCATTCATGAAGCACTCGATGTTCAGCGGCAGGTCAGAGGAGTTGGCGCTCATCAGCTTCTTGAGCTTCTCACATTCCTGGTAGAGTCGGACCAAAGCTCTGGGCTTGGACTTCACATCCAGCTTGTACTTCACGGCAAACTCCTCACAAAAATGTTTGACCAGCCGCTCATCAAAGTCTTTCCCTCCCATTTCAGGGTCAAAGGCTGTAGCAAGAATCTGTACGGGCAGAAAAAGCGATCCGTTTATATTTCCATATTAGGGATGTAACGATTAACGATAAATCATGATAAAACTCCCCACGGTTAGTATTACCGTTTCATCTTTTAATTATCATTAAAGCCGTATTAGATTACCGCGATCTGAACAACTCGCGATAAATAAATACTGTCCAGCATAAAGCACAGTTTTCAGTAACAGTGTCACATGCACACAGCACGCAGAGCAGTTTCGTTTTGAGTGAAAACAGGGCGAATGATATAATTATATGAATGTACCTCTGAAGGTTCTGCCTGTCTTCAGAAACGATTCGATGTCATTTTGTTTTCATCTTCGCTTCATGTAATACCTAATAAATAAGTGTTTTTATCGCAATACTGCTTTGTCCACTGAGTTTACGGGAAACAGCTCTAATTCTGCTTTTCCATCAGCGCCACCTGCTGTCAGCGAGTGGATTTACAGAGACCTATATTTACATTCAGCCTGTGAGCAGTTTCTATCTGGCCAAAAACTGACCGAATTTGCATGCCGTGCTGTAAATTTCGTCCGTTTTATGAAAAACAAGCTTATGTGGATTCTACACATTTAAACAATTCAGATAAGTTATCTAGAACTATTTATGGAGCAGATCAAATACATATAATCATTTATTAATCAATTATCATTTTGACTTTTCTTTATTTAAAGGCTGAAATGTGAGGTTTACCTTTTTATGAAAGCTTTATTTGAACATTTACATTAGATATTTCAACATGCTATTAAACTGTTGTCAGTCAAGTTGTCATTTAAAATCCAAACATCATTGGTAATGTTATTGTTTTAGTGATTACGCAAACAAAAAGTCATTTTATTTGTTGTTTGTTGATTTTTAAATACAAAACTTGGTGAAGCGATTTGTGTGTCGGTTCTTTTTTAACATCTCCAGCACATTTTAACAATACCGATATTATCGGTGATTAATACCGATAACCGTGATAATTTTCATACCGTTACATCCCTATTCCACATAACAGTCAAGATCACTTTTGAGGGTATAACGGTCATCGGCACACACCTTAAGCTTGCCTTTATTAAAGGCACACACAGAGACCTGGTAGCCTGAATGGCCAATATCCACAAACACCACTGTCCTTGGCTTTTCTTCAGGAGTGGGAAGATCCTGCTTGTAGATCCCGTAAGCCAGAGCCACTGCATGCAAAAACCACAGATGTCACTCAAGAGCAGAAAGTAGCTGTGTTACAACTGAAACGCCGCGTTACACCCTGAACACTTCACCTGCGGTGGTTTCATTCATGAGCCTCAGACAGTTGAGTCCTGCGATCTGAGCCGCATCGATGACGGATCTCCTCTCAGCATCGGTGTAGAAGCAGGGCACCTTCGGGATGAAAGCAGCATTCGCTTAGGAAAGTGATTTCAGAGCTTTCAGAGAACCTAAGGTGGATTTCTGTCTCCAATAACTAATTTACAGCTGAGGGAAAAATGACCATGCAGGGCTTGATGCTTACTTTTCCCTAAGGAGCACATTTTGAACAATTTAGGAGAGCATTTAGAAACTTTAGGGGCGCAATGAAAAATCAGCAAATAATGTGTTTTTCCTTAATAAAGGGATACAGCGAGACGACATCAAGCAAAAACATTTAATTTATAAAAAATACAAATCACACACTAGGTTTTCAACTATATCTGCTTCAAAATATAATAACACACACACAATATATATATATATATATATATGTTTTATTGATATGTTTAATATATATGTTTTTAATTAATATTTAGAATTTTTGAAGTTTTATATTTTCTGCTTTCATTTTAGTTAAAAGTTTTAGTAACTTTGTCCTGTTTTTGTAATTTTTATTAGTTTTTAAACTTGTCTGTATAGTTAAAAATGTATATATTTTTTGTTTTAGTGTAGTTTATCAGGTTAAACTAAATGAAAATATGAGTTTACATCTTTTTTATCTCATTTAATTTCAGTTCACATTTATCTTTATTTCAAAAAATTAGTTTTTTTTATTGTTTTAGTTAACTATAATAACCCTGATACTAGTAAAATGTATATATATTGATATATAGATATAATGTTCTTTGTCTTTCCTTCCTGTCATTGGGCATCCCGAATAAAAGCAACAATAGTTCACATTGAATTAAATGTAAAATTAAATTACAGTTAGTGCAACCAAATAATAACCAGGGGGAAAAAAATACACATACTGCGTGACTTTTAATTTATAAACAAGCCCAGAATACACCGGGATGCTTATTTTGAAATGTCTATGCTTTACTATTGCAGGCTGCTCATTCGAATTCATATGAAGGAGATAAAACATGCATTCTAACATATGATAACTGTGCTATTCATTGATTGCAAACTGAAGCAGTCTTTAGTGTACGTATAGTGTAATCTTAGTATCATGTAAAGATTGATGCATGGTGTTTTTGTGTACTTGTTGTATGTTGACCTGCTCTCTTGATCGCTCAAGACAAAAACACCCACCAATCACATGCAACATCTTTAGGGATGCACTCACAGAGATGACACAATCAGCGACGGGTTTCTTGAGGGCGCTCTCGGCAGTCTCCTTGAGTTTGGTGAGGAGCATCGCAGTAATCTGTTCAATGCTGAACACCTTCTCCTCCTCCATGTACATCACCTGCAACATACAACACACGAGTGCTAAAGCACAAGAACAGCTCACAATGCTTCTCGCATTCACCGCACGACAGAACGCCACGCTTGGCTTCACAAGAAGGGTTTGCTGCCAAAACTAGCCCTCTGAACAACGCTGGCACAGTGCGATCAGTCAGCTCACAAGTGTTGTGTTCGCACGTGACGAAACCGTCTCGGGTTTCTTGTTGATCTCGTCTCACTTTTAGCTTCTCACCTTTATGCCCGTCGTTCCCGAAGGCATCTGTGACAGGTCGTAAACGAGACTGGACTTCAAGTTCTGGACAAACGGATCCGAGAACGCCCGGCCATGGAAACGCTTGAATCCTTGGACAGTGTTTTTGCAATTGGTGACCATCTGTGTTTCAGTTGAGACAAAAAAAAAGCATGAGTAAAATCATGCATGATCACGAACACAAAAGACAGCATTAAAACCAGCGTCTCAGCTGACTAACGTCTACACATCACATACCTGGCTTTTAGCTGCCGCTCCAATAGATCGATTTCGAGGCCCAAAAGACACACATGCTCTGAAATGACAAACACAAATAGCAAATATTATGACAAATAACTGCGCAGGTATAATCAATAATTAATAGAGCATACATCTATTTACACACACACACCTTATATATATATATATAAGGTCAACAGTTTGGGATCATTAAGATAGAACTTCCGTAGATTTCTGAAGATCGTGTGACACTGAAGACTGGAGGAATGATGCTGAAAATACAGCTTTGATCACAGAAATAAATTACATTCTAAACTATATTCAAATAGAAAACCATTATTTTACATGATAATAATATTTCACAATATTACTGTTTTTTCTGTATTTTTGATCAAATAAACGCAGCCTTGATGAGCAGAAGACACTTCTTTAAAACACATTAAACATCTTACAGATCCCAAACTTTTGAAAAGTAGTGTGTGTGTATACATATATATATACACACACATACAGATCTTTTTTTTTTATTATATACAATAATAATAGTCAATCATAAAATCCTACCAAGTGGAACATTTACACTTATTAAAAAAAAAAAAAATATATATATATATATGAATAAAGCACGAGATTTAAGTCCGATTTCTCAAATAAAAAAAATTTAAAATAATAATGGTTCAGTTGTTTCTCAAAACCCAACGCTACTAAAAAGAACGTTACCGTGATTTCAAACGGTACGCTACTAGTGTTACACCACAGTGTTCTTTACAGTACCGCGGTATTTTCACGTAGCGCTGTGGTAAGCGAGTTCGCAGCGGATCTGCTCAGTCCGAGCGTGTGTGTGTGTGTGTGTGTGTGTGTGTGTGTGTGTGTGTGTGTGTGTGTGTGTAGCAGCGAATAAAGCGGACTCACGGTGTGCTTCGGTCGCTGTATTCGTTGGCCGCGGTCTCTATTCCTCCGGCGCGAGCTACCGCTACATAGCAGCTCAGAAAGCCCACATCAAAGCCCACCACCGACATCTCAACAGCGACGGGATCCCGCGCGCTATCAGCCCGAGCACAGAGGGGGGTTAGACGGTCGGTCTGTAGAAGCGGAAGAGTCAGTGACAGAGCTTAATTCATCATTCGACTGTAGCTTCAGCGAGGAATGAGGCTGCGGATGATCAAACGCCGATCGCGAGACAACAGCACCGCTTCCGGTTCACCGCGGAGCTAAAAGGTCCAACACAAACATTCCACTCTGAATCTCTTCAATCTTCAAGGCCACTTTCAATTTGAGATTTTCCTTTTGATTTTAAGATTTTAATTTGAGGACCGTGGCAAACCGTAATTTCTCAACTCAAACCATTGTTTTGGAAACCTTTTAAGCTGCTAGCAGATTGCAAATGAGGCACTGATCTCTAATGCGCAATAATATATCGATCAGTAATCGTCAAGCATGCAGAATCAAATACTTGGGTAGCTGTAGGCAGCTTAAATATGTTTAATAATTAAAAAATATTAAATGCATATATATTGTAGTCATTACGAGTGGCTTTTAAATATCAACTTAAATACATTAGTATGCATAACATAATAGGTTTTTAAATATTACATGTTTATACGCACATTTATATATATAACGTATATTCTACACACAACTGAAACGTCTGATTTCAAGCGTGACAAATTCATCTCAACGTAGGGAATATTTGTTGGACCTTTACTTTGAAAGTTAGCTCAGACGCGTCAGCGCTGACCCGGATGTTCGCTCACGCGTCTGGGAGCAGCAGTGTCGCGATGAGGTCTCCGTGCCGTTTTCTCGCTCGAGCCACAACCGCGCTGAGATTATCCGCTCACGCTCTCCCGCGCGTCTACGGTACTCACGAGCGCCAGGCTTCGCGATGCTCGAGACCGTATTACATCACGACGCCCATCTTCTACGTCAACGCGTCGCCTCACATCGGTCACGTGTACTCCGCCGTCACCGCCGACTGTCTGCACAGGTACAAACTCTTAAAGGGACACGACTCCAGATTCTCCACAGGTGTGTGTCACACGTGTCAGTGCTGCATGACTGAAAGAGTGAAATAAGTGCGTTATAGTGAGTTGTTGGTGTGTGCAGGTACGGATGAACATGGTCTGAAGATCCAGCAGGCAGCCAGCAGTGCTGCTAAAGAGCCCCTGAGCTTCTGCACCGAGATATCACAGAGTTTCAAGCATGTTTTCCAAAGATGTAGCATTTCCTACACTGACTACATCAGAACCACTGAGCAAAGGCACAGACGGGCTGTTGAAGACTTCTGGGGGGTCCTCCACAGCAGAGGCGTCCTCTACAAAGGCTGGTATGAAGGCTGGTACTCCACTCCAGATGAAAGCTTTCTGTCTCCAGCTCAAGTCTCAGACAGCACAGACTCAGGAGGAGCAGGGGTCAAAGTGTCCAGCGAGAGCGGCCACAAGGTACCAGCCGTCCTGGAATAAAAGCCTGCGCCGCTCCACCAGAGGATGCACCAGAACAGGGCTTTGCAGACGGTGGTGTTTATGGCCTGGTTTCACAGACAGGACTCTCCAGGAGTTCTTATTAAAAAAAAACAATACTGCTGTGCATCTGGAGTGTTTAAAAATGAGGTTGAAGTTAGATTTAAATAAGAGGGAGAGAAGTTTAAAAATAAGATTTGAATAATTAGATTGCGTAAACAATAAAAATAAGATTACATTTTTTTTTTCTATAAACATTCAATATATAAGCCAACTAAAAATTAGAAAAAAATACTAAATTATATAATTAATATTTAAAATAAAAAAATTATACTAAAAAAAAAAAATATATATATATATTAAAATAAATTATTTGGAAAATTCCTAGATTAAAATATATGTAAAAATTAAAAACAATAAAAATTTGATAAAAAAAAATAATTAGATTAATAAACAGATTAAATATATAAGCAAACTAAAAATTAGAAAAATTGACTAAATTATATAATTAATATTTAAAATAAAAAAATTAGACTAAAATATATATTTATATAATTAATATTTAAAATAAATGATTTGGAAAATTCCTAGATTAAAATATAAGTAAAAATTAAAAACAATATAAAAATTAGACATTAGGTACATAAATATAATATGCATAAGGTAACAAAAAATTAGATTAAAATATATAAGCAAACTAAAAATTCGAAGAAAAAAAAATATATAAAACAGAGTAAAATATATAAGTAAACAACAAAAAGCTGATTAAAATAAATTAAGAATAATTAGATTTTTTTTTAGATTAAAGGAGACTAAATAATACAAAAACAAATTAGATTAAAAATAAATTATTAATTTAATTTATTAATTAAATTAATGAACTAACATCTAACAGTACGGTCCTAAAGTGAGTAAAAAATATAAAAAAAACGATGTAACTTAATAGAAACAACATTTTCCAAATAATTTTTTTTTTACATTGGTATACTATATAGTACATATGTATACCAATTACAATTTTTTATTTTAAGTACAACTAACATGAAACTGTATATCTAGCTGCCTCGCATGAGGATGATTATATTTGGGGGTCCGTGGCATCTGAAAGACAGTAAAGGTTGACTGATGTGGAATGAATATTTGGAAACAAAACTTCTGTAGATTTTAGAAGACTAATAACCCTCGAGTTATTCAGGCGAGCAGCACTAGTCTTGACACGCGAGACCTAATCAAACTCTTCTGAAGTTCTTCAAAGGTGGCGTAAGATCATTTCTCTATCCTCTCTGACAGGTGGAGTGGATGAAGGAGGACAATTACATGTTCCGTCTATCAGAGTTTCGCACCGAACTGCTTCGCTGGCTTCGATCGAACCCGAAGGTCATCCAGCCGGTGAAGTTTTACGACTTAGTTCTCCAGTGGCTGGAGGACGACATCCCAGATCTGTCAGTGTCCCGGCAGAAGAGCCGGCTCCAGTGGGGTATCCCAGTCCCGGGGGATCCGGAGCAAACCATCTACGTTTGGCTGGACGCTCTGGTGAACTATTTGACGGTGGTGGGTTACCCTCAGAATCACTCTCAGTGGTGGACAGCGGTGCATCACGTCGTGGGTAAGGACATCCTCAAGTTTCACGCCATATACTGGCCCGCGTTTCTCATGGCTGCGGGGTTGCCTCTTCCTCAGATGATATATGTTCACTCTCACTGGACGGTGGAGGGAAGGAAGATGTCCAAGAGTCTCGGAAACGTGATCAACCCATTGGACGCCATTGAGAAGTTCACCGTGGACGGCTTGAGATACTTCCTTCTCAGACAAGGCGTTCCTGATTCGGACTGCGACTATTATGACGATAAAGTCATTAAGATGTGCAACAGCGAGTTAGCGGACGCTCTCGGAGGGCTGTTAAACCGCTGCACCGCGCCCTCGATTAACCCTACACAGGTGTATCCTCGCTTCTCTAACACATGCTTCCCAAAGGAAGAGCTCAGTGGAAGAGCCGTCTCGGATGATTACAGAATGGTGGAGGCTGTATCAGCGCTTCCAGTCTTAGTAGAGCAGCACTTTGAGACTCTACACATCTATAAAGCGCTGGAAACCATTAGCGCATGCGTGCGCCTCACTAACAGGTTTGTCCAAAGACACGCCCCGTGGAAGCTGGACCGGAAAGAAGACCGACAGTGGCTTGACACCATCCTTCACGTGTCTTTAGAGTGCCTCAGGGTGTATGGGATGCTCCTGCAACCTGTGGTGCCAGGGCTTGCCGATAAAATTTTATCGAGGCTGGGAGTCACGCCTGAGGAGAGAAGCTGGGATTCTGTCAACTTCCTTATGAAATATGAAGGACAAGACTGTGGGTTGGAAGGAAGGGCGCTGGGTCCTGATTTGGGAGTGTTGTTTAGTCGTCTGGAGAGGAGCTCGGTGAAAGGGAAGACTCCCAAAAAGGCAACAACACAAGAGGAGTCAAAGTCTTGATGAATACTTGAACCTTACCAGGATTTAATGTAGTAATAAAAGATAGTGATGGTGTTGGGGTTCCATAGAAATTCAAGCAAACAATGATTTAAAGGTCACACTCTATATACAATGTACAACAAGGCATAAAACTGACATGATTTTTTTTTAATGAGAAATACACGAAACTGAAAAATTGTACAAATTGAAATAAAATAAAGTTGCAATAATCTTATAATTTCCTGTACTTCTTTTTACATATACTCTTCCATGGTTCACCTCAATGTTTCACAGAATGACTTTCTGAAATACATGTTTGACTCTACTTCAGATGCAGCCCTGCGGGCTTCTTTTGGGATCCTCTTCTCTCATGTAGCAGAAAACCCGCTAAAACTACTCTTTACCACTGGTGAAATGCATTCAGACGCTCTCAGAAATATGAGTTGGTGTTCTGTCCAGGTTGAGTACCTAGGGAAACAAAAACGTAATTTAAATACAGAAAATTACATTTTTAAATATTGATGACTTTGCATTGATAAAGAACAGCACTGAGAATGAAAACAAATACAAAATGTATGAATTTAGAACATACAAGGGCTGCCCACGACTAAAGATTTTTGTAGTCGACTACTGTAGTAATCGTTCATTAGTCAGCTAAACGTACATTTATATTAATTTAATTAATCAAAAATATATAGGGCCCTATGATTTCAGCGATGTGGAAAACGAGGACGGAATCCAGTCATAAAAATGTAATTTTCAGTACAACGCTGAATGTCACGGAATGTTTTTCAAATTTTGGATGGATAAATCCAATCAGACCACTATATGGACTAGAGTCTGTGAACATTAAACCGCAAAAAGACTACTGAAATGTGAATCCTGCATGTCTCTGTGTGAATGAATGGCGTAGACACGTGGTTTCGTTTAATGAAGTGTGCGTGATGCTCGCGGTGTTTTCAGCCTCTGAACACATGAACAACATCTTCAGAGCTGCTCTGAGCGTCACTTCACGAGCATTTTAACATTTCAATTCAGAAAAACTACAATCATATCACACACAGAAACTTAACGGTCTTCGCGGCAACCCGTCAAAATAAAAGTTAAATTTAACTTGAAGAAATTGTGACGGAAATATATTACTATTGATTGATTACTATAGTATGTATTTTTTTTAATGTAATACTACTACTACTACTAAAAGAATCCTTAAGACATGTTTCATTTTCATTGGATTACAAGAATTAAATTAATGTTTTATGCCTTTGATTACCAGAAGAAGAAACAAATTGTAAAATAAAACATATTGCATAGAATAAGTTGCTGTTAAACTGTTTAAGTTTTATGATTTCAAGACATAACTTTTGATTAATGCATGTGTCAGTCTTCACCGGGCTGGAGTCAAATAATAATGTGGTTATAAGGTGTGTATGATTTAAACTACTTTGCAGTTTGCATACTGCTGCTCTCCTTCTAGTCAATATTAGGGCTGTCAAAAAAAATTCACATTTAATTTAAGGTCTGCATCAGCCATTAAGCAGCCTTATCAGTGGCGCACGAGATGCGATGACGATGTATGTGTCACTGACTGCATTTGAATGCTTTTGTTAGCCTATCCAGTTGAACCCACTAGATGCGGCGCTGCTAGAAAAGTAGAAAATTCAAATTTAGTTTTTCAGTCATTTTGACAGCCCTAGTCACTGTTGAACTCTTCCCTCTAAAGCCATCACTGGTTGCCAGTTATCACAAAAAGAGCAAAACAAGTGCCTTAAAAACACAGTATAAGCAGCCGATACCAGGGAACAAATTTAAACAATGTAACTAGTATGAATAGTATCCTACAGAATTAAAAGTAAATGTAATTTATTACGAATAGAATATTTCAATATAAAATATTTAGATAATATAAACTGATTGCAGTAAAACAATAACATGAGATTGAAAAATAATTCAGAAACACTTAAAAGTTTAATTGCACCTATAAGTTGCATTTAATATTAGTAAGTTGGGGGCAGTTAATCTAAATGTTTAGTGTATTTTTACTAAATAAATAATTTACAGAATAAAAGAAAAAGAAAAATCAAACAAGGTGAAGTACGTTTCAATTCTAAAGTATTTTAGTTTATTTATTATATAAAGCCCTATGAGAAATAAGGATTTATGTTGATATTGTCCATGAGCATTTGAAAATGTTTGGAGGGCAATGTATATTATGCAAAAACACAGTAGTGTATCGTGGCTGTTTGAAACGGAGTATTGTAAAGATTCAAGCATACTTGAGAGCTGCTGCTGGAGCTGTCTGACCAGCGCTGCGGTCTGCTGCTGCTGCTGGGTTTGCTGCATGCCTTGCCGAGGGAACTGAGACAAAATATAGAAGAAAATGTTCTGAATATCCAAAAAAGTAACGCAATAAACCCATAGACGCTTCTAGAACTGTTTTATAAATGTTTATCGGACTAATTTTCCACCCCTTTGTGTTTCAGTACTTGATGCGTTTTAAAAGTACATAATTGAAAGATGTTGCAGATGTGCAGATAGTTCGGGGTCTTACCATGGGCTGCATTCCCAGGGCCTGAGCGGGAGGCTGTGCTGCCGCCACCGGCTGCTGTTGAACCTGCTGCTGCTGCACCTGCTGAGGCTGAACCTGCTGCTGCTGCTGCTGCTGCTGGACCTGCTGCTGTTGCTGCTGCACTTGTTGCTGAACCTGCTGCTGCTGCTGCTGTAAGACAAACACACAGACACCACAACATTACAGGCGAATCGTTGAAATGTAGGCGTTGTGTGAAATGCGCAGTGTCCCACAATGCATTGGGGTGTGTGGTGTACGTACTCTGAGAGCTGGATGCTGTCTGATCAGCTGCTGCTGTTGGGCTTGCTGTTGTTGCTGCTGCTGCTGCTGGTCCATCATCTGATTGGTCCTCATGTTGGGGTGCATGGCCTGCGCTCCCATGTGACCTTGAGCCAGGCCGTGCATCAAAGGCGTCTGCTGCATGGACTGATGGGAAAACCTGAGACAGATGGTGAAAGCTGAGCAGATGTGTTTTACATTCCTTCAAAGTTAGGTTGTGCAGTATAACATTACTAAGTAAGTATGGGGTAACACTTTAGATTAAAGGTACAGACAGCTAGTGGTTAAAATGCTCCCCTTCTCCTCAGACTTGACACTCACGCGGGTTGCCAGATTGAGGACAACGAAACAAGAACGAGCGTAACTGACAATGGAAGGTGACGAGCCTTATACTGTAAGCTGATGAGTTTATTTATCCACGTTTAATATTCCTCTGGTCATAGAGTTTTTTTAGATGGATGCTGAGGGCTTTTTACCACCAGCCTGAACCGTTGAGACAAGGCAGGATGGATCCATGCTTTCATGTTCTTTACGCCAAATTCTGACCCTACCATCTGAATGTCGCAGCAGAAATCAGACCAGGCAACGTTTTTCCAATCTTCTATTGTCCAATTTTGGTGAGCCTGTGCGAACTTATATATATATATATATATGGTGTAGACAGCATCACTGATTATAACGAGTTCTATAGTATAGTATCTATTGGTTTTGCTTTGTTTCACAGAACTAATCTGTGCCTGGGTTGCGTACGTATGTGTGGGGTGGAGCTATCAAAATATGGGCGAGACCCTTATGGGGTAGGGGTGTGTTTGTTTCGGTGATTTCAAATGTCAACATTGGCTACCAGAAATCGCTTACCCCACCTTTAAGAATTTCACTGTTTAACTTAGAGCCGTGGTTCTCAATTCCAGTCCTTATGTACCACCGCTCTGCACATTTTATGTATCTCTTATTACTTCAGATGTTTGTTCGATTCGACTGTAAGTGACCTGCGAAGTGGACATCACAGGATATTCTGCTATGATTCCAGTTTGAAGGGAGCGTATGTGTTCCATTCAAAGGGCATTAAAGTGTGCAAGACGTGAATTTAAATTGTATTTATTTAAAGAGGTATATTATGTCACAATTCTCTAGTTTTGTCTGTGTGTGAAGATGCTGCAGGCCGTGGCATAGCGCAAATCCATGAATGAATGTTAAGTAAACTTCAACGGATTTCCCGTGCTCAGGGAGTAGGGAACAATGAACACAGTTCATGCATGGAGCTCTCTTCTAACGAGCTGGTTATCTGAATCAGGTGTGTTAAATAAGGGTGTGTCCACACTTGTCATGTTTGGTTCGATTAAAACGAACTCTGGTGCGATTGCTCTGTTAGTGCGGCTCGTTTGAGTAAGTGTGAACGCTGCCATCCGAACCCTGTTGTGCACCAAACAAACAGGCCGAGACCGCTAAAAAGATGGTTCTCGGTCCACTTCCAAACGAACTCTGGTGTGAGTGTGCAAGACGTGAATTTAAATTGTATTTATTTAAAGAGGTATATTATGTCACAATTCTCTAGTTTTGTCTGTGTGTGAAGATGCTGCAGGCCGTGGCATAGCGCAAATCCATGAATGAATGTTAAGTAAACTTCAACGGATTTCCCGTGCTCAGGGAGTAGGGAACAATGAACACAGTTCATGCATGGAGCTCTCTTCTAACGAGCTGGTTATCTGAATCAGGTGTGTTAAATAAGGGGGGGTCCACACTTGTTATGTTTGGTTCGATTAAAACGAACTCTGGTGCGATTGCTCTGTTAGTGCGGCTCGTTTGAGTAAGTGTGAACGCTGCCATCCGAACCCTGTTGTGCACCAAACAAACGGGCCGAGACCGCTAAAAAGATGGTTCTCGGTCCACTTCCAAACGAACTCTGGTGTGGTTCGAATGAAATATGAACGCAACACGGACCAAATACTTCTAAACTAACCAAAAATAGGAAGTCATGACAAGATGAGACGCTATGCGACATGATTTGACAACGCAGAATGAGCGGTGAATCCCAAACTGTGTGAGCAGAGGGCAAACGTGGAGTAACAAGTGGCTTTTATGAGCTCTTCGTGAGTTCGCAGGTGGTGAAAATAAGTACATGCAGCAATGAGCGCGCTTAGTCCAGCAGACGGCATTAGGTGTGTTCGACTTAAAGTGGCGCTGAGCAGACCGATCAGTGACTGGGTGCTTTGATGTCATGCACCGATCGGTCAGCGCAGCACCGCTTTAAGTCGAACACAGCTTTTGTTCGGGGTGTTCGCCGAGTTCCGTCGCGAAATACACGTCATTCAACCCGACCAATCAGGCTGTGAACGTATCACTATGCCTTTAGGTTCGGTATCTTTAGATTCGTTGTCAAAAATGCCAGTGTGAACGCTCAGCGGACCAAGACCAAATATCGTTTTCTTTTTTGGTCCGGACGAAATGAACCGAACTACAAGTGTGAACGCACCCTATGAGAGACATGCAAAATACGCAGAGCGGTGGTACGCGAGGACTGGAATTGAGAACCACTGACTTAAGCCTCGTACACACCGGGACGATTATCGTGCGTGCTTATCGCCGATGTTTTTGACACGTCTTTTGTGTTCATACCCAAGCGATTTTCTCTGCCGATGAGCCGAGTGAACATGCAAATTCACTCCCTGACATTAGATGGCGCTTAATGAAAAACAGAAATACCCCGGTACACATCGAATCCTATTTGATCTGCAAGCCCTCTCCATAACATTTTTGTAGTCGCTGTCGCATTTGTCATAAAGCCCTTTGTGTTCAGACACCAATGAGACCAGCAGCTCTACATTCATCTTGCCTCGATGCATCTTCTTGGTCTACTTACTTCCTCTTCGTCATTAGGTATCAATGTGTGCTCGGCAAGACCGTTTTGTGCTTGAGCGCAACCAAGTCGTGTTTTACTGTAACTTCAGCAGCTCCAGGCACGTGAACAAAAGTGCCAATCTCATTGGTCGGCCAGTTTTTAATGTGGCGCATCAAACCCCAAAAAAACGAGCCTGAGGCGTTTTTAAAAAAATGATGCTTTTACGTGTCGGTGTGCACACTCACATTGGCGCCTTTTGTTTAGTCACGAGGCGTTAAACGTTGGCGATAATCGTGCGCGATATTCGTCCCGCTGTGAACAAGCCTTTAGAGAAGCTTTTATCAGTTTTCATAATATAGAGTGTGTTCATTTATATGATAATATAATAAATAAAATAAATCATGGGTAAGAATTGACTTTATTGATTTGTGTTTATAGGTGCAATAATTCTAATATTTCTCAAATGACAACAATCATGATCAGTAATCACAATTATAATTTTGAGCAAAATAATTGTGATTATCAGGTTAACCATTATGAAGCATGCCTAAAATTTGACTAAAACTGGCAGATTTTAGTTAACTAAAGCTTGACTAATCAAAAATAAACAAACAAAACAAAACAAAACCGGATAATGACTATATATATAATCAAAATTAAAAAGGACATTACACAAGGCAAAGACTGGAAAGAAAAAAAAACTGACCAAATGAACACTACATTTAGCCAATCTGATTATTTCAAGTCAAGCACTTTTGTCTGTGACTGACCTTTGCGTGTTTGGCACATCACAATTATAATTTTGAGCAAAATAATTGTGATTATCAGGTTAACCATTATGAAGCATGCCTAAAATTTGACTAAAACTGGCAGATTTTAGTTAACTAAAGCTTGACTAATCAAAAATAAACAAACAAAACAAAACCGGATCATGACTATATATATATAATCAAAATTAAAAAGGACATTACACAAGGCAAAGACTGGAAAGAAAAAAAAAACTGACCAAATTAACACTACATTTAGCCAATCTGATTATTTCAAGTCAAGCACTTTTGTCTGTGACTGACCTTTGCGTGTTTGGCACGGTGTGTGCGTATGCTCCAGGAGCCTGCTGATGGACGTAGCCACTAGGTCTCTGCTGCATTTGCCTAAGAGGGTCCACCATGGCTGGGTTTGTGCCAGGATGTCCTCCCTGGAAGCCCTGGTTACCGTACGAGGCAGGAACTATTCCAGCGGGCTGAGAGGGGTGTGGCTGCATCCCCATGTGCGAACCGTAGATGGTGTAGCCCTGGGAAATGTTCTGAAGAGAGAAGCATGGGCGGTCATCACCGGGTTTCAGCAAATGCTGAACAAATCAAGAATGCAAATTTGCCTGTACTTGCCTGTGTCGGTTGCATTGATGGATACTGTTGATTAGGTGCCACTTGTCTAATCTGCGCTTGTCCAAGTAAATGATTATGATTCTAGATAAGTGCAAACAGAGCATAAAAAACACGAATGCCTTCCATTTCCTGAAAATGATCATCCAACCTTTCTGAATTAAACATTCACAAATCACTAAAAAATAAAAGGTGTTTGCCCATGGAAACACATCGCCATGATGGTCTACGTCAAACTTTAAGAGTGACCATTTTTCAGAAAAAGATGAATCATTGACTAAGTAAGATTTCACTATGGACATAAAGGTTAGGATCATGATTCTTCAGTAGTAGTAGTAGTAGTAGTACATCACACCGTGACTGTATCTTAACACCATTTGTTGTTTGCTTTTGGTATCTGAAGGAGCGTTTGGACCCGGAAATGGTGAAGCACCACTAATTACAGGACATATGCTAAAATGACAACTAATCAGACAAAATACAAGGAAACCATGGCTGCATTTACACTGCAAGTCTTAATGCACAGAAACGATCTTTTGACCATATCCGATTTTTTGGCCCGTCTGTTTACATTCACTTTGGACACGACTGGTTTCCCATATCTGTATCTAATTCTCACCCAAAAGGATTGTCTGCAGTTATCGCTTTACGATGCACTTCGGGTATTGAATGACCGTGCGATTAAAATTTAGTGAAATAAAATAAAGATAGAGAGAGAGAGTGAGAAAATGGGCGAGCGAGTGTAAAGCTTGTGAACAAGTGAAGCTAGTTGGTTTAATTACAAAAACTACTAAGTTATCACCTCATTGCTGAGAAATATAATGTAGCTTTTAGCTGTTGTATTTATAAAATTCACGGGGCAGGGGTTGAAAACCAGCTCCTGAATGTACAATTTCTTACCTATATAAAGTTTCCATCTCAATAAAATGCGAGCGCATACAGCACACCAGCATTAAAACACAATCTTTATGGGCAAACGTGTCGCCCTCACATTAGGAGTTCTGCGGGGAATCTGATGTGTGTGTTTAGACGCAGGTCGGATGTCCAGATATCGGATATGTATCTGATTTAAAACCTCATTTGGAAGTGGCTCAGATCGGATGCGAAAAAAATCATATCTCATACAGCACACCAGCATTAAAACACAATCTTTATGGGCAAACGTGTCGCCCTCACATTAGGAGTTCTGCGGGGAATCTGATGTGTGTGTTTAGACGCAGGTCGGATGTCCAGATATCGGATATGTATCCGATTTAAAACCTCATTTGGAAGTGGCTCAGATCGGATGCGAAAAAATCTTATCTCGAGCGGATTTTTGTATTTACACATGTGCAACAAATTCCGATCGGTGTCAGATGTGAGCAAAAACTCTTATTTTTTGTGCCAGTGTAAATGCAGCCCATATGTGTCTTGATCAGTAAAACCAGACTCACCAGTCTGACCTGTAGCTGATGACGGAGAATCTGCCCCTGAGGCATGCTCTGTGGGGGCTTATAGCCCATCTGGAACTGCTTGTCCATTCCCATCATGTTGCCCATGCCAGCACCCGGCATATTAGTCATGCTGTAGGTGGGACGTGGAGGAATTTTGCCCATAGGACCCCTGAGACGGAAAGGGGGCTCTAAACCGGGGCCTCCTAAGAGGGAAAATACAATGAGACAATGAAAAAGCATAAAAGACAAGTAAAAAAACAAATAGACGTCCTACGTGCATCTCATGATGCTAAAATTACCGAAACGAAAAGGAAAATTTGCTGGAAAGGAAAAGAGGTTAAAAGGCATGCACTGACCTGGAGGTAGAGGCTGGTTTTGGGCATGCATGCTCATTGGACCCGGGTAGCCCATTCGGAAAGGCATGTTTGACTGGCCCATGTTCATCAGATCAGGAGCCATGCCTGGCGTGTACTGCAAGACTGGGTTGTGCGGCTTGTAGTCCTAGACCACAGGACATGGTTTCATTTTTAATTTTAAAAGAAAACTTGATTTTATGACTTTTTAGCTCTTTTCCCGGCATTGATAGAATTTTCTGGCTTTCCTTGTTTTCGCTGTTATACAGCAGGAGGCGTTATTTCACATCTTCTAAAAGAGTAGTGAGTATCAGAATGCATGTAAGCAGATGCATGTAAAATAATGTGATCATCAAACATTAAACAGCATATAAATCAAAACTCCCTAATGTTCTCAAATGAAATGTCGACCCAGGAAGTGGTTTAGGGACTGTGAAACTTCGGGGTTTTGATGGAAGCGTTTGACTGCATCTATGTTTTGCTCATCATTCTGAATCCAATCCAGACTTAGTGTTTTTAGCCAGCTGAAAACTCCTCGCTGTGAGCGCTTGAGTGCTTCTGAAGTGCAGAGTTTTATTCAGTTGAGATGCATTGGTTGCTATGATACGGAATATCCGTGGAAGTGTTACAGAGGAATAAATGTTGAGCGCGTTAATGCTCAGCGTGAAATAAATGCTCAGTGCCTCGTCAACACCGTTGCGTTTTTAAAAAAACGCGGCGCTCCCATTGAAAACAACTGAAAAAAACACACTAGCCTCAGGAAAAAAACACTTTGGTGGACACGACTTTAGTCTGACAAAAACGCGATTTTCAAAATGTTGCTTTTTTTTTTTTCATGAAACTTGCCCACATTCAAGTGTTGATGCATGAAGCTAGAATAAAACTTATTTTTTTCTGGTTTAAAAGCAGATGTTGTTATTTCTTTTGATATATTGCATGTTCAGATATTCATACAATAGAATATTCTAGGGGCCATGAAAATTTTGTGAAAACGATCAAAAATGCTGGCGGTAGCTAAACAAAGCTAAAAAAAACGCAGACGCAAACGCAGAAAATTACTTCTAAAGGCTCTAATAAAAAATACAAAAATATACATTTTCATTTTCAACATTTTCAACGACAGCTGAAAACTCATCTCTTTCGACGCTACTTGACTTAAAAAAAAACAAAAAACCTCTCTCTTTATTTATTCCTTCTTTTCTCATTCGTACCTCTTGTTTATTTGCGGATGTCGGTTTCTTTTTCTTTTTCTTCTTACTGGTGTCAGGTGCGACATTAGAGACGCTCTTCTCCGGCTTCCCTGGATCCACCTTCTTGTCCGGCTCAGGAGGCACAGGTGTAGGCGGCTCCTCCTCCTCTTGGGGCAGGTTGAGGGGCGCCAGATAGTAACTGCGCTGTTTGGGCTTTATGTGGGTGTGGTAAAGCAGGAGCCGCTGCTGCTCCTCAAACTTCGTGACTTTGCGGTCGACCCGCACGGACCCAAACCAGCCCCAGGACAGCGGAGCCGAGTGCTTCAGCCCCTCGAACACGTCCCAAGGAGAAATCTTCTGCTTAGTCGACACCTGAAGACCCTGTATGCCAGAAATCACAATGCAAAGGTAAGCGAATGGCCAGAAGCCAATGGCACCTATAATGTGCTACGTACCTCTTTTTCGAATCCAGCAATTTTGTTGCCCTTTGTGTCAATGAGTGACCCCTGGGGCTCACAGGTGATGACGTCACGCGTCTGCTTGGGCAGAGGCAGCAGCTGCCGCACTTTCTCCAAGCTCTCGGACTGACGCTCACCAAGCTCTTTCTGCAGGGCAAAGCAAACCAGAGTCTTACATTTCCGGAAGAAAAGTGAGTGGCGCTTGTCTGCGCAAAATCACTGCCATGATGATATAGCGTTGCTTATTACAGTTGCTAAGGTCCGATTGTTTTGTGCATTTTTAGGTAGACTACGGTTTAAAAAATGTGGGATCGGTAAGATAAAAAAAAAAAAATTTTTTTGAAAGGAGTCTCTTATGCTCACCAAGGCTGCATGTACTGCTGTCTTTTCTGAGGTAAATAACAATCACAGTATTTCTCAGTCTCACCCTGAGTTTCTTGACCAGGTTCATGTAGGCCCTCTTATTCTCCTCCATGCTGCCCTGAGAGATGCTGGACATGTCAGCCGCCAGAGTGCCGTTAATCAACACGCTCAGCATGTCTAACACCGTAGTGAAGAGCTCACTAATGGAAAAAAGAACAAACATCATTCAACTCCGACTGTAGAGCAAAGACGATCAGTGGTTGCATGAGGGGTGTGTCAGATCTCACTTGTTAGACTGCATGTCCACTGTGCCACTGCTGATGATGTCCAGCAGAAGCACCGCCCACTCTGTCGTCTGCTGTGTGCTTCGCTGCACCGTATCAAACATCCCACCCACCTAGACCACGTGACACAAAATAACAAATGAGCTCAGTGCAGTTTAACCGCATCTTAGTGACATTCAGGTAGAGTTTAACCTCGGGCACACAATACAAGGAAATGAGATTGATGAGAGCCAGATCAACACACCGATTGTACTTGTTTGTTCAGCCTAAGGCAGATGATGTATAGCCGGGTTTCCATCCAAAGTTGCGATTTTAACTTATGCGCAAAACTGGAATATCGCATAAAACATTTGCGAACAAGCATCGTTTCAAGTCAAAGAGAACAAAATCATCACGTCCTGATAAACTGGCACTATAAATCACTAAGTAGGAGAATATAATAATTTTATGTTTATTTTTTATATACTTTTTATAATAATATATGTGACCCTGGACGACAAAAATTGAGATTTATACATCATCTGAAATCTGAAATAAATAAGCTTTCCATTGATGTGTGGTTTGTTAGGATCGGACAATATTTGGCCGAGATACAACTATTTGAAAATCTGGAATCTGAGGGTGCAAAAAAATCTAAATATTGAGAAAATCATCTTTAAAGTTGTCCAAATGAAGTTCTTAGCAATGCATATTACTAATCAAAAATTAAGTTTTGATATATTTACAGTAGGAAATTTACAAAATATCTTCATGGAACATGATCTTTACTTAATATCCTAATGATTTTTGGCATAAAAGAAAAATCTATAATTTTGAGCCATACAATGTATTGTTGGCTATTGCTACAAATATACCCCAGCGACTTAACACTGCTTTTGTGCTCCAGCGTCACATATAATAAATAAATTGCGCCTCAGAGCGAGCAGATGAAACACAATGAATGCGGTGATTGCTTTCGGAGGTGGATGCTGCTGTTTGGGAACGCAGTCGTCTAAGACATTTCTGGGAGGCAATTATACAGAAATACTTTGATGACAGACTTTGCTTGTGCATTTCCGAATGACCATAACAACATTTCAGATGCTGTGGAATGAGATCGGTCCGCTGGTTAGTCAGGTTTTGCCGTCCCATAGTGCAAAGTCACATGACTTTTTTGATGCACTTGGAGGAATTTATTCGCAAAATGCATTTTCATTATTCGCATCAACCCTTTTTCGCACAAGTCAAAAAGCACCTCAAGCGAGCGTAAAAACTTTTTTGCAAATTAAGGGATTTTTATTCGAAATTTGGCGTTTCCATCATTCGTTTCTCATGCGATACTTCAAAATGCACATTAAAATAAGGTGATGGAAACATAGCTTATGAGAGAAAGAGATAACGGTTGCACACCAGATTGAGTCGCAGCTTCAAGGCCTCGTGCATCATCTGCTTGGCCTTGCAGTCATCCTGGTACTGGTCCTCACGCCAGTTAGTCACAATCTGATGGGGGAATACATCATATCAGTCCAAAGAGATGACAAGCACTGACTGACAGTCACACGGTGAGTGTTGATGAGGTACCTGCTGGACTTGGCTGTAGAGGGAAGTCAGGAGACCCTCCCTCTGCTCGTCTTGTCCCTTGAGACACGTCAGCACCAGAGAGAGGAAGGGCTGCTGGCTCAGGAGAGACATACTGAAAGAGAAAACGGTGATTCCTGATAATACAGTCGCACATGTTAATTATTGTGATATACCGTACTACTGATCATGCCTAGACTCTAAGCACAAAACAAAAAGCACAGTTTTTATTTAGCTTGAACTATTTTATTATTAAGTGTTGTTGTTTAGAATCAAAATTGCACTACTGTTCACAAGTTTGGGGTCAGAAAGAGTTAGCAAAAGCCCCTTCAAGTCAACCTGTGTTTCCAGAGGTAAAAAAGAATTATATATATATATATATTTTTTTTTATATTCATAACTAAATAGTTTTTTTTATTTGTATATTAACTTTTTTTTTATTACTTCTTTTGAATACCCAATTTACTATACATACATATGTATAGTAATTTAGTTATACAGATTAAATTGGCCAAAGTGACAGTAAAGACATTTATAATGTTACAAAATATTTCAATTTTAAATAATCCCTGTTCTTTTGAACTTATATTCATCAAATACTAAAAATCTAAAAAAAAAAAAAAATAAAATCAGTTACCACACAAATAATAAGCAGCACAACTGCTTTTAACATTGATAATAAGAAATCCGCTTATTAGAATGATTTCTGAAGGATCATGTGACACTGTCATAGGAACGCATCTCGGAGGGCAGTATAATGTTGTTTCTTGTAGTTTAGAACGACTTTCAAAACCTGTAAGCAGAATATCTAGGCAACATGTTTAGGCACTAAACATCAGGAGAAAAGCAACAGTGTAAATAAAGCTGGTGTCAAGTCTAATACCTTTTTTGTTTCTGCCGATCTCTTTCTTTCCGTGAGGAGGGTCCCAGGTGCTGTCCCTTCTCCAGCTCTTCACCCGCAGCCTTCAGCACGTGACCCTGCACTGAGGTGGGCAGCTTACCAATCAGAGGGGCCACTAACCAGACCCCTGAACGCTCGGAGGAACTGGAGGAAACACAACATGCAGGGCATGAGCTGCGCAGCATCGCTTTCTTCTTGCAGCTTAGACACTGATAGGAACACTGATTTATGTTGTTTGAAGAAGAGAAGGCCAGTCCATCGACTCCATCAAACTGAAAATAAATAAGAGCACAGAGCCCTTAGCTACAAAGCAATGATTGGGGTCACCGACCTGAGCACAGGTTTGAGTTTGCTGGCACTGTTGCTATTGGAGACGGAGCTGCCAGAAACCACGGAGCCATTCCAGGTGGGGTTACTAGAGTTCATCTCCGCAGACTTCTGGAAAACTTCGATGGTGGCCTTGGCTATGTTCTCCAGAAGAGAATACAGCTCCTGTAAAGAGTGGGTTCAGATGTACAAACCTTAAGAAAAGATGAGAAATCATCAAGCGGAGATGAACTCCGCAAACACGCGTCGGCTTACGTTATTTGAGCTTTGCTTGATCATGAGCTGCAGCTCCAGAGACGACTGTCTCATGGTCCACTGGTCCATGTTCTGTAAGCAGAAGAACAGACGGAATATGGAAAGAATGCTTTTAAAGCAGAGCTTAAGAGCCCCAGCTGGGTGTTAATTGTCTATGAAGATGAAAACCAATCCAGAATAATGAGCTGCTGTGAGACCCACACAAATCATTAATGGCTTAAAGGCTAAAGGGTGTGAAATGAATAATTAAGCTTGGGGAAATTACTCTGCCGCTCTTCCATCGCTGACAGACGCAACAGAGCTGCCTGGTGTCTAAAACACCTGTTTGTCTTCACGTATGCAAGCCTGGTCTACTGGGTTTTAAAGCTGAAATGTGCTTTTTCTGCACTGAGAGCATCATCAAATGGATTTGCAAAATCAATGACTGTTTTCAAACAGGTTTTCAGAAAACTCCTCCGCAAATGTGTATAAACCTGGTATATTACAGTGTTTCCCAGGACTCTGAGACTATGGTGGGTGGACACCGAACCACCAAGAGAATATCTATTAAAGTTTTACATATTTAAGTTAAGCAAAAATGAAGGACTCCAACCGCTTTTCAGTCTGCTGTGATTTGTACCAGGACTTTAAAGTGGGCTAAAAACCTATTTTTTGTTGTGACAGTGTGTCAGTCCACATCACATTCACACTGGTATTTTTAGGAAGCCAAACTATTTAAAAATAATAATAATAATAATGAAATAAATTGAAATTATCATTATTAATCATTATTATTACAATTGTAAAACAACTGCACGGTAAAACATTTTTAATATTTTAATAGTAAGTATACAGCTATGGGAAAAAATTAAGAGACCACCCGAAAATTCTCAGTTTCTCTGGATTTACGATTTTTTTAGTTTGAGTAAAAATGTAATGTTTGAGTAAAATGATAAAATAATCTAAAATATTAAATAATTGATAAATATTGATTTTATTCTGAAAACTACTGATAACATTTCTTGCAAAAATGTTGTCATTTAGAGCATGCAATGACAATTGGTCAAAATAACAAAAAAGATGCCATGTTTTCAGACATGTTTATATTCATTTTTAGACCGCACAATACCAATGTTTTAACTGCAGTTAAGTAAATATTTTGTGGAATAACAAGTCGATATTTGTTATTTTGACCAATTGTTATTTTATTAAAAAACAAATCTAAAAATTACAATATTTTTACTTGAAATTTGAAAGAAATGTTATCAGAACTTTATAGAACAAAACAAATAGGCCTATTAACATTGTACTCAAACCCATACCTAGTAAATCCAGAGAAACTGAGAATTTTCAAGTGGTCTCTTTTTTTTCATAGCTGTATATATCATACATGTGTCTTGATTTCTTCACAAGTGCTAAACCCTGGAGCTTTTATTTTGGTGGAAAACTGCAAGGAGGCCTTCAATCTCTATGACAGCAGGTATACAAACACTTCTCATTATTACCCTAGTGAAACAATGTAAACATAACTTTCAAATTCATGCAACTGAAAATAAAGTGAACCTGGTGCACATTGTGCTCCCAAATGCACACACACACACACATATATACATATATATATCAGCATATGCAGAGAGTGAGTTTTCTGCATTTACTGTGAACCGAGCCACTCTGAAACACAGAGCATTAGAATATATAGGCTACTTAATTAAATTACAGCCAGTCTTTAGTCGCTGGGGTATATTTGTAGCAATAGCCAAAAAAAACACTGTATGGATCAAAATGATTGATTTTTATTTTATGCTCATGTTCCATGAAAATATTTGGTAAATGTCCTAATTGTACAAACCAAAAACATAATTTTTGATTAGTAATATGCATTGCTAAGAACTTCATTTGGACAACTTTAAAGGCGATTTTCTCAATATTTGGATTTTTTTGCACCCTCAGATTCCAGATTTTCAAATAGTCGTATCTCGGCCAAATATTGTCCTATCCTAACAAACCATACATTAATGGAAAGTTTATTTATTCAGCTTTCCGATGTATTATTCAATGTATAATTTTAAAAAATGTACCCTTATGACTGGTTTTGTGGTCCTGGGTCACATATTTCCACAATTTGAGTCTATAGTGGTAATATAATATGTATTATAACAGCTAAAATTACTCCAAGTATGACAATCCAGGTAAGTCTGGCTCCAGGTTCAGAGTCCTGCTCACTACAGGCTGAAAACACACACACACACACACACACACGTCACAACCAGCATCTTCCATAAAAAGGCACTGGCCTCAAAATAGGACTCCATCATTTCTGGCTCACAGCTGCGTTAACGCAGTACAAACAGAATGAGCCGATCACAATACTGCAGACTGCCAGACAGACGGACCACCTGTGACTCAAACGAGCAGGATAAATAAACACCCGGGCAAAAGAATCCTCTGAAGTACCCAGAAGGATCCTCAGACTTGATTTAAGATGTTGGTTCAACCAAACACACATTCTGTCATGAATTGCTCAACCTCATGTTATTCCAAACCGAATGACACAAAGGTTGAAAGAATGTACACATAGCTCCTTGTGCATTGAGCCAATCAGAGACAGAGAGCGAGACTGTGGGCGGCAGAAGCAGCTCTCTGGCCGCAGGACAAAGCTGAAGATGGAGCTGCCTGGTGAGAAATGTGGAGACATCAAACAGGCTGGCATTTAGTACTGACGCCTGTCTGATTTCTCTGAACTCTGTTAGGTAACTGTGAAAAACTGAACGACTGCACCTCCAAGAGTGAGGTATGCAGTGACTTGAGTGTCTGTATGGCAGGAAAACTGTGGAACATCAACTGAAAGAGCCGTACCTGCGTTGAGGAGGGAGGGAATGGCCACACAGCGCACCAGATCCTCCAGCAACAAACACTGCCGAGCTATCAGGATGGCAACGAATGTCGCCAGCGAGTCGTGGAAAGACAGATCACTCACCTGCAAAAAGAGAAAACGCATTCAATTATCACCAGATTCATCTGGCACAGCTATTTAAAGGGACAGTTCACCCAAAAATGAAAATTTGCTGCTACTCAACTCACAATCAGGCTATTTAAGATGTAGGTGACTGACTTTCTTCAGCAGAACAGTAAAGAAGATTTTTAGCTGAAACTATGGTCCTTGGTGATTCATAAAATACAAGTCAGTGGCTGCCGTTTTTAGAATAAAAAAAGCACATCAGGAAACACAAACTGAACACTCGTGGTTCCTGAAGATATATCAAGGTCTTATGAAGAGAAACGATCGGTCTGTGCAAGAAACTGAACATTATTTACAACATTATTACCTGAAATCCAGAGCCTCAGACAAACAGGGAACTCAAGATTATTTTCTGTGAACTGGTTCTTTCGGACAGTTCGTTTCAATTCACTAGTTCATTTACGTAATCATGCAATGACGTCACATATACACAATTAAATTATTAAAGCACCCAATAATGAGGTGAAATGTGGATGTTTTGCATATCTAAAGCATACAAAGTGAATAAACTAGTCTTCATCAGCTCACCTTTTTACATAATGTAACACCCTTCATTGGGGTGTTTGGTTCATGCATGTGAATATCAGCGGCTCGTCGGTCTTCGGTCCGAGTCTAACTGTTTCCTCAGTTCAGTAACTGTTGGAGGAACTGAAGCGCTGAATGATTCAAGAACACAAATAGATAGAATACAAAAAGATTAGAGAAGCAGTTAGTAAATGAATAAAGTCTAAAAGGGGCAAAATTTTTTTTTAAAGAATAGAATTAGAATAGAGAGTGCTTAGAGTTAGAGTGTCAAATAAAGATGGAAGAAATACATTTTTTTTATTTACATTTGCTGTTAATTTTCTAACTCTCAGGCCATCCGAGATGTAGGTGACTCTTCTTCTTCTTCAGTAGAACAGTACAGAAGATTTTCAGCTGAAACCGTGCTCCTTGGTGATTCATAACATGCAAGTCAATGGGTACCGGCACTTTGAGAATAAAAAAGCATATCAAGGAACACAATATGAATCCTTGTGGCTCCTGATGATATATTGATGTCTTGAGAAGTGAAACGATCGGTCTGTGCAAGAAAGTGAACATTATTTATGACATTATTATCTGTAAGAGAGCCCCAGGCAGATGTGTAAATCTGACTCTTGTCCATTAACTGGTTCTGTTGGTTATTAAAGCAGCCAATAATAATGTGAAAGGTGGATGTTTTATAGTTTAAAGCATATAAAGTCAATAAACTAGTCTTCATCAGCTCAGCTTTTTACATAAAGCATGAGAAACCATGAAAGCGTTCATCTCAGCCCTTCATTCGAGCTCTGGGTTCACACATGCTCATAGCAGCGGCTCGTCGGTCTTCGGTCCGAGTCGAACTGTTTCCTCAGTTCAGTGACTGCTGGAGGAACTGGAGCGCTGAATGATTCATTCATCACAGGATCAGATACGCCGCTATTTCTGCTCATTTCCAGTCGCAGTGACTGTCAGGCGTTTGTAAGTGAGTTTTGACTGAGTAACTTGTAGATCTGTGCTGCTCGAGCCATGAACTGTTTCCACAATATTCAACTAGTTCACCAAAAAGAACTGGTTCAAAAGAATGATTCGTTTGTGAACCGGACATCACTCCAGACCGACTGTGTGAGGCTCTGGATTACAGGTAATAATGCTGTAAATAATGTTCAGTTTCTTGCACAGACTGATCGTTTCGCTTCATAAGACCTCAATATATCGTCAGGAGCCACGGGTATTAATTTTGTGTTCACTGATTTGCTTTTTTTATTCTCAAAAACGAGCAGTCGCTGACTTGCATTTTATGAATCACAAAGGTTCAGCGTTTCAACTAAAAATCTTCTTTACTGTTCTACTGTAGAAAAAAAGTCACCTACATCTTGGATGGCCTGAGGGTTAAGTCATCTACACACTTCACCACTCATCCATCGACTCGAGCTGAAGAGTAACTCTTCTAGTCATTCTATGGCAACCTTGATAATCCACAAAACTTGATCTTTGTTGTTGTTTTAGTGCATGTTTTTTTGGAACATGTTTTAGTCAGATCATTTACACAAATATGCTTAAAATTCCAAATGAGATCATATGGCTACAACATGTTAGCGGTCAATGCAACAGATGAAAGCGGACTCACGTCAACATTGCAGAGCAAATCGTTGAAGCCGCAGTTGCCGTTGTTGGAGGAACAGCAGAGAGCCTTGAGCACTCCTAACCACTCAGCGCTGAGAGAGCGACAGTACGCCGTCAGCTCCGCGCACAGGATCCCGATATCATTCACCCTGAAACAAACCACACAGCATTTGCTCACCGCAGGAGACGCTACAGATGCCATGCAGCTGTTCTGCTATTGGAGAATTATGCGACAGGACTCAGGGCAGTGTTTACATTAATCACATCGGTCATTTTTGTGCACATTACACACATTGCAATACATTTTAATAAATATCTTTTTACTTAGCCATGAAGTTGACTAAAGACTAATTTTGTCTTGAAGTGTTAAAGAGGTTAATCTATTCTACAATTTAAACTTTGATAGTAAAATGTAAAAAAAAAAAAAAAAAAAATCATAAAATTATCTTTAGTTGTTTATTGCTACCATAAACTGCCTACAGGCTAATTAACTGGAATATTTCAGTTTGATTATTACTGATTAACTGATAATTATTAACTGAACACTGGTCTGTTTTCTCATATTGATGTTTTATCAAAAATTAAAGGCTTATTTCTCAAATTCAGTGTTATTTATATTAATTATGTTATATAATTATATAATATAAAAATATGAATATTATATAATATTTAATATTACTTGTATACTACTTTTATTAATATTCAGAATTAGCTTTTATTTTTAGTTATTTCACTTAGTTATATTATTATTTTCATATTTTCAGTTTTCATTTTAATTAGTTTAATGTGCATTTGTCAATTTTTAATTACTATTTGGGTTTCGTTTTAATTTGAGTTCTGTTGACAGTACAACATTTCAAATTTTTGTTTCGTTTTTTTTTCGTCTAATACATTTATAATGAACCTGCTCAAAACATAAATCGACAGAATTAGATGCTAACCTCTCGGGATCACGGTGGTCCACGCACACGTCCATGAGCACGTTACACACGAAGCTGTATCGGTTAGCTGGGCTGTCATTGAGGATCTTTCCCACCATGGAGTGGTTGAGGTTGTGCGCGGTAGGATTAGCGATAGCGTCGATCATGAACACCTGATCCCACAGCATGTTGGAGTCTGATGGGTCGATGTTATAGTAGATGGAATTCTTCACCTTTGAGCAGAACTCACTGTGGGAATTCACACGAAAAACAGACACCATTAGAGACCAGGAATATGGGGAAACACTTAAAAAAAGAAGAAAGTATGGATTCGTTGCTCTCACCTGAAAATCTCTCCAAACTTGCTCTTCAGGTGACTGCAGGAGGTATAGAGGTCGTAGAGATAGGCCAGGATACAGCGTTCAGCTGAGGAACAGTCTGCAGGGTTCACGCCAGACTTGACTACAATCCTCAGCCTGCCGAGAATGATACGAGATATTCATCATTGTCCAAAAAGGGATAGTTCACCCTAAAATGAAAATTTGCTGTTACTCACCCTCATGTAGATGTAGGTGACTTTTTTTCTTCAGCAGAACAGTAATGAAGATATTTAGCTGAAACTGTGGTCCTTGGTGTTTCATGAAATGCAAGTCAGCGGCTGCCCGTTTTTGAAAATTAAAAAGCATATCAAGGAACACAAAATTAACACCCGTGGCTCCTGACGATATATTGAGTTCTTATGAAGTGAAACGATCGGTCTGTGCAAGAAACTGAACATTATTTACAACATTATTACCTGAAATCCAGAGCCTCGGGCAAACGGGGAAATCTGATTATTTTCTGTGAACTGGTTCTTTCGGATAGTTTGTTTCAATGAACGGGTTCAATTCACTAGTTCATTTAAGTAATCACGCAATGACGTCACATATACGCCATTATATTATTAAAGCATCAAATAATGATGTGAAACGCGGATGTTTTACATGTCTAAAGCATATAAAGTGAATAAACTAGTCTTCATCAGCTCACCTTTTTACATAAAGAGAAACCATAAAAATGTTAATTTGGCCCTTCATTGGTGTGTTTGGTTCATGCATGTGAATATCAGCGGCTCGTCGGTCTTCGGTCCGAGTCGAACTGTTTCCTCAGTTCAGTGTCTGCTGGAGGAACTGAAGCGCTGAATGATTCATTCATCACAGGATCAGATACGCCGCTATTTCTGCTCATTTCCAGCCGCAGTGAATGTCAGGCGTCTGTTAGTGAGTTTTGATTGAGTAACTTGTAGATCTGTGCTGCTCGAGCTGTGAACCGTTTCAGATGCTTTAGTCCGTTTTTGGTGAACTGGTTCAAGTAATTCCCTAAAAAGAACCGGTTCAAAAGAATGATTCGCTCATGAACTGGACATCACTCCGGACCGTTTGTCTGAAGCTCTGGATTACAGGTTATAATGTTGTAAATAATGTTCAGTTTCTTGCACAGGCTGATCGTTTCGCTTCATAAGACCTTGCTATATCGTCAGGAGCCACAGTGATTCATTCTGTGTTCTTTGATATGCTTGTCTGAAGCTCTGGATTACAGGTTATAATGTTGTAAATAATGTTCAGTTTCTTGCACAGGCCGATCGTTTCGCTTCATAAGACCTTGCTATATCGTCAGGAGCCACAGTGATTCATTCTGTGTTCTTTGATATGCTTTTTTATTCTAAAAAACGGGCAGCCGCTGACTTGTATTTTATGAATCACCAAGGACCACGATTTCAGCTAAAAATCTTCTTTACTCTTCTACTGAAGAAAAAACAGACACCTACATCTTGGATGGCCTGAGAGGGAGTAAATTAACAGGCGATTTTCATTTTTGGGTGAACTATCCCTTTAACATCATTCCAAAAGCTGTGATTGCACTGTCCTATCGATTGGTAGACATGAACATGACGTACCCATCGAAGACCTGTGCGGTCTGGTCAGGGTTAAGGATGAGGCAGGAGTGGTATCTCCGCAGAACGGCCACGATACACAGACAAAGACCTGTAGTGTAACTGCCTGCCAGGTTGGAGGACTTCAGCAGGAGTTCTGCTTCCACCAGACTCAACTCATTCAGCAGCTGCATGACACAACACACACTGGAGTTAATCACTGATGGACAAAGTATTAATGCTTTTCTTTTACAAGCATGTATGAAGTGAGGGAGAACATCTATAAATTGGAACTGGTTTTTAGTTTTATTATAGCCGATCTCTACTCCAGAATTGCACACAAACCACATTGCAATCATTTCCCAAAATGTAATTTGTGTGTAATTTTTATGAAGTCTGTAAAGAGGAGAAAATACTGATCAAGCTCACTTTTGTGATGTTCACAATATAGGAAGACAATTATGTGGAGGTTTAAAAGAATGCATCTCTGAGAGGAACTGACCATCTTCAGAAATGTTTCGATGGCATTTTATTTTCCTCTTAACTCCATATAATGCATATTAAAGTAGTGTTTATAAGCTCAGCGGTTTACAGCGGTAATCAAGGAAATTCTATATCATTCAGTCCGTCTGTTGTTTTGTGGAGGTGTCTTATGTAGCATAATTTCACAAATCTAAAGTCAGACCATTCTGTTTTTCCTTTAAATCAAAAACAACTGAGCAGTTGCTACATGTATGTAGTGCTACTGTCTGTTCAAAATAAGTGAAAAAATACATTTCCCGTTGTACCAAAATCATACGGAAGTGACCTCAAAACCGAGGTACGACTTCTGTGCACCGTTACACCCCTAACTCACACGACCCCAAACAGAGATGATATTTTGGGATCAGCTGTCATACCTGTATAGCAAAGTCAATGAGGCCACTTATATTGAGCGAATACTCCATGAGGTCAAAGATGAACTGGATGTGTTGGACCAGTGGGAGGTGATAGGACATCCCTAAGGCAAAGCTGGTGATCTGTTCCAGAACATTCCTGGACACCTGTGAGAACCCAAACACACCATCTGAATGACGTCTGAACGCTAATGAGATTTGGAGAAGGTCAGGATTTACAGTGAATTTAAATCAGTAGGCTTGGATACGCTACACAGATTTTGCCCAGATTTACAGTCTGGATGCTGGAAATTCAGAGCCGGTCTGCAGAAATTGGGCAGATGGAATTGACTTATTTTGCAGAAAACCATGCCATGATGGGCACAGACTCTTGACTGATGATTACATCCAATTGGAGAAGATCAAACATGTTTGACATTTTGAAATTATTTTAGAATAATGCATCTCCTAGCAATGAGGTGATATGTGATTCTGCTGCGTTGAGAATGACCAGAAAGCCTGGTTGTGTGATCCTCAATTGTTTAGTGTGCGATTCCTAGATTTTCCTCAGTAACCATTACAAAGTTGGCCAGTGTATGATGCCTAATGTTTTAAAAATGGTACAGAATTTAACATCGGTGTAGTTTATTCAGGCTTCAGCGCAGTTTAGGCAATCCTTACAGAGCTCATTGACATACAGAACTCTTAAAGGCACAGTAGCAAAAACAACCTGTTAAGGTGCAGTCACAGCTTCCACTCAGGAGAGAAGTCAAAAGCTTTTTCCCTCTAACTGAAATTATGCCTTTTAAATTCGAATATACATAATATTTAAGTACAAAATTCAAATTTAGATTTTCAGCCATTTTGACAGCCCTAGCATAGAGTAAGATTTGTGGAAACGTAAATGATAAAAATCAGGCTGCGCCAAAATTAGTGAAATGCGAAATGGTGAAAAGTATATTTTGGTTTAAGACAAAAAAATAGGCAGGTCACAGCAGTTCATTGATGCAAGTCAGGCTGACCTGAGAGGTGACCTGGTGCTGGTCAAAGTGTGAGAGGTGCTGGAATTTAGAGAAAATGTCTTCAGCGGTGGGAAAGGCCTCAGGTTTACTCCTCTTCCTCTTCTGACCTTCCTCACCTCCTGAGGAAAGAAAACAAAAGACAAAAATCAATGATTATACAGCACACATACACGAGAGTGAGCCCTAACAGGATTTCAGTAAGATGAAAAGCGGAGATCGCTATCAAAGTATAAAGTGCCCTCATCCAGCATCCATCAGTCAACCGCTGAGGTCACTCTGTCAAACGCTTCTTCAGATTAAAAGATTAAGAGCTGCCACAGGGTTACGGGTCAGTGTTTTTGTCGTGCTTGAAATAGTAATAGCTGTGGGTTGAGCCGTTTAATGTCAGGACCAAGGCTCAGTCTGCTGTGAGGGGAATAATGGAGGTGTTCAATTACACCTCCATTAAAAAGTGAAAGCAAACGCGGGGCTGCTCTTTCTGACCCGAGTCGGCAGCTAAGCTTGACTATAATAAGTCAATGATTGCTATTAGCATTGAAATGGGGCTAGAGCTATGAATAATCAATGACAGCAATTTAAGGATTAATAAATGACTTCTTTGAGTGTACTATTCCTATAAAGGGGTCATATGATGCGATTTCAATTGGTCCTTTCTCTTTGGAGTGTTACAAGCTCTTGGTGCATAAAGAAGATCTGTAAAGTTGCAAAGACTGAAGTCTCAAATCCAAAGAGATATTCTTTATAAAAGTTAAGAGTCAGCCACGCCCACCTAAAACGGCTCGTTCTAACGTATGTGGTTGCCGCTCCTTCATCGAATCCGCCGGCTGCGCCGTTCTCGACCCAGCCACCTCTGATCACTCTAGCCCAGCCTCAGCTCACACTAAGCAGCGGCTTCCGCTCAAGCTAGGCCGCAGTGTTTTTCATTGTGAAAGCGAAACTACTTTGTTTGGTCTTCCAAAAGAGGACACGGCCAGAAATCAGTGGTTAAGTTGTATTTACAACACTGTTCCAGAACAGTTCAACCCAAATATTCAGATGTGTGCAGCGCATTTTATGGAGGACTGTTTCCTGATCCTGGGAGAGTAGACTACAATGCCGGCTGTTCTGACTCACAGACTGTAAGTACATTTTCATTTAAAGGATTTGCCACTGATGATTCAAACACGAGTTTTGAGCAGTGTAGAGTAGTGCTTGTTGTTTGTCGTTTCTCCGATCACAAATGCAGATGTGGTTTTATGTTTACGCGGCGCGATGCAACGCAACACGTAAAAAGACCGTATAAGTCATTATAATCCGTAATTATGTCCCCACTGGATGCAACAAATGCCTCGTTTATAATGGGTTTTAATGTTTTTGTCGCGTCGCTCCGGCCGGACACGGCATCATCACAGTATGGTGAGAGGCGTAACATTTCCGTCACACGCTTGAGGTATTCAGCCAATCACAACGCACTGGATAGCTGGCCAATCACAGCACACCTCGCTTTTCAGACCGATGAGCTTTGTAAAAATCGATGCATTTCAGAAAGGCGGGGCATAGAGGAGAAACAATAATGTACAGTATGTGGAAAATAATGTGTTTTTTTTTACTTTACACCGCATAAACACATTTCATTACACCAAATAATGTTCTTTTTAGCAACATCATATGACCCCTTTAATAATCTTCACAGTTAAATGTTCAGATCTGTCGGTTTGAGTCGTGTTCATCGCCGCACCTGTCTCTGCTGTACTCTTGCGGTTGAGAACCTTCAGGATGTCTTTGGTGATCTTCTTGATGGCGTGGCGAGCTTCATCTCGCTGTTTGCCAACCCCATAGAGAACCACCAGACGCTGGTTACACTCGTGACTTGCGCTCTCCTCCTGAACAACAACCAGTTCAGTCACAATATTAGTCATAGAAACTACTGTTCAAAACTATGGGATAGGTACGATTTTTTTAATGTTTTAAAAACTCAAAAAGCCTGCATGTATTCGATCAAAAAATCTGTTTTATTGTGAAATAGTATTCCAATTTTAAATAACTGTTTTCATTTCAAATGTAATTTATTCTTGTGCTCGAAGCTGAATTCTTTTTAGCATCATTAATCCAATGATCCTTCAGAAATAACTATAATATGCGGATTCTGTGCTCAAGAAACATTTAATATTATTATTACTATCAATGTTGAAAACAGCTGTGTTTGTGCAAACCTTGATACATTTTTTGATGAATGAAGTTTTGCACTTATTTCATGCGTGTTCTTCACGTGACTTGTCAGTTTCTAAATAAGTATTTAGAATAATAAAAGGAGAAAATTACCATCTTTACTACTTTAAATAAAGAAACCCTTGTTATTTATGAACGACAACACTTTAGTTTAAGGACCAATTCTCACTATTAACTAGTTGCTTATTAGCATGCATACTACTAGCATATTTGGCTGTACTTATAAAGCACATATTAATGCGTTATTCTGCATGATCATATTCTAGATCCCTTAATGCTATACTATACCTAAACTCAAGAACTACCTTACTAACTATTATTAAGCAGCAAATTAGGAATCACAGTTAATCGTGAGAATTGGTCCCCAAACTAAAGTGTGACTTTCTTAACATATAAGGTCACACTTTAGCTCACCTGAGGAATGGGGAAGTGGGTGGCGTACTGTATGTGGCGGGGCTGCTCGTAAACCAGCGTGAAGGCTGGGTCCATGCCCTTATCCTTGGCAGTGTTTTTGCTCTCCTGCTCAGGGGCAGGTTTCTCCGGGGAAGGGCTTCCCTTCGACTCGCAGTGCATCGAAGGAGAGAACATCTGCTGAAGGATCAGACGACGACACATTTAATCAGCAAACATCAGGTACCATCACTATTACAAAAGTGACGAGTTAAGTGAAATGCTTTCTCCAACCTCATCAAAGTTAGCACTCGAGTTGTGATCTATCTCCATAGACTCGGACATACCAGTATCCTAAAAAAACAAACAAATATAATTAATAGCAATAAAGTATGACTTCATCCGACCAATCATGACTGGAAAAAAAGCTTCTTGCCTCCATTTTAACACTGCTTCCTGCATCCTGCTCTTTGCGCTCTGATTCGTCAGAGGGCTCGTCGCCGGGGGAACGTGGGCGGGGCAGATGGGAGTCGGAGGCCAGGTCGCCACGGGAGATGAGGGTGCACATGTAGATGTTGTGTGAGAAGACGTCATGACGGATGAGCTCGCAGAAGAGCAGCACGAGATTGGAGAACTCCACTCGCTCGCTCTCGTTCCCGGGCTCAGCTTCACAGACACAGAGACAGAGTTTTAGCTCATATACACTGCCGCTCAAAAGTTTGGGATCAGTAGGATTTTTATTGTTTTCTTTTGCTCATTAAGGCTGCATTTATTTTATCAAACATACAGGAAAAACTGTAATACTGTGAAATATTATTGAAAATTTAAATACCGGGTTTCTATCTTAATATACTTTAAAATCAAATTTATTCCTGTGAAGCAATGCTGAATTTTCAGTATCATTACTCCAGTCTTCAGTGTCAAACATGATGACATGCTAATTCATAATCAGTGATGGAAGCAGTTGTGCTGCTTAATATTTTTTTGGAACCTGTGACACTTTTGTCAGTATTTTTTGATGAATAAAAAGTTAAAAAGAACAGCATTTATTTAAAATAGAAATATTTTGTAACAATATACACTACTGTTCAAAAGTTTGGGGTCAGTAAATTTTATTCTTTCTTTCTTTTTTTAAAGAAATTAATGCTTTTATTCAGCAAGGATGTGCTAAATTGATACAAAGTGATATTAAAGACTTCTATTGTTACAAAATATTTCTATTTTAAATAAATGCTGTTCTTTTTAACTTTTTATTCATCAAAAAATCCTGACAATAGTATCACAGGTCCCAAAAAAATATTTTTGGTATTGTTTCAACTGTTTCAATCATTGATTATGAATTAGCATATTAGAATGATTTCTGAAGGATCGTGTGACACTGAAGACTGGAGGAATGATGCTGAAAATACAGCTTTGATCACAGAAATAAATTATATTTTAAAGTAGGGCTGCACGATAAATCGCATGCGATATTTAACGCGCATCTTGTCAGTAAAGCCGGTTCTGTAATCAGCGGTAAATCTCCATCACCTGCGTGCTTTCACATTGAGCAGCATTAACTACACAGAGCCGTTGTTCACTGACTAGCTGCGCCAAACCACGTTCATATTCGCGCGATTTTTGGCGCAGCTAGTCAGTGAAAAACGGCTCTGTGTAGTTAATGCTGCTCCATGTGAAAGCACGCACGTGATGGAGATTTACCGCTGATTACAGAACGGCTTTACTGACAAGATGCGCGTTAAATATCGCATGTGATTTATCGTGCAGCCCTATTTTAAAGTATATTAAGAAAGAATACAGTTATTTAAAATTGCAATAATATTTCACAATATTACTGTTTTTTTCTGTATTTTTGATCAAATAAATGCAGCCTTGATGAGCAGAAGAAACTTCTTTAAAAAAAAACAAAAAAAATCAATCAAAATCCTACTGATCCCAAACTTCTGAGCGGCAGTGTATACCTTATTTAAAAGCATAATCCTTCTCTAAAGCAGTTAATGGAACTGGAAAGAAACCCCTAAGGATGCTAAAATATGAACTCACTGAGCACAGGGGCTTGTGTGTCCAGGAACTGCAGTAGGACGTCCTGGAAGACGGGCAGAGTAGCAGCAGACAGAGACCCTGACGACACAGAGCCCTTCTCATCCACGACCTCAGACTCTCCACACCTCTAAAAACACACACAGGATTACTGTGAAAACTGTGCAGCTGGACATTACAACACCATTTTCATAATGGAAAACAATGGTTCCCAGCAGCACCTCTGCCTCAATCTCCGTCTGCCTCTTCTCCAGGAGTTTGGCCACCACCATGGCTCTATGCGGCCCGGACCTTTTACAGGAAACAGCCCACTCACACAGCAGGGTCACCACCGCATCGTCGTCTGGGCTCATCTACAGTGACCAGCACATTACACATTAAACATCAGATCAAGTTAAAACATCTTAGTGTTATATAATTAGTACTATGTAGTTATTGCACATTAATTATTACAATAAAGTTGGTGAAGAGCTAAGTATCACAACACTTACTAGTTAATAACTGTGCTTTATTGGCACACTACTGTTCAAAAATTGAGGTTTTCAAACTTTGTTTTTTTTGGTGTTTCTGAAGTCTTTTGTGCTCTGGGCTGCATCTATTAGATCAAAATTACACTAAAAACAGTACAACTGTGAAATATATTAAAATAGAAAAGTCATTTTAAATTGTTATAAGTTCAAATGTAATTTATTCCTTTGATGCAAAGCTGTATTTTCAGCATCATTCCTCCAGTCTTCAGTGTCACACGATCCTTCAGAAATCATTCTGATATACTGATTTGCTGCTCAAGAAACATTTCTGATTATTATCAGTGTTGAAAACAGTTGTGCTGGAAGCTGCAAGACTTTTTCAGGATCTCTTTGCTGAAAAGAATGAAGATTTATTTGAAACGGAAATCTTTTTGTAACATTCTAAAAGTCTTTAGTGTCACTTCGGATCAATTGAATCTGTCCTTGCGGAGTAAAATTGTTAATTTCTTACTGACCCCAATCTTTTGAAATTCAGTGGGATCCCATAACAACAAATAAACCTTTACCTCGTGTCCGTCTTTGCTCTGTCCCGAGCCAAAGATTCGGTTATACAGCGAATCCAGGGAATTGCTGAAGTCAGACTTCTCAAAGCTGTGGTTGTCCAAAACCTCCAATGTATGCAGAACCCGGCTGATGGTGAAACCTACCGGACACACCACGGATCCTATATTATACAAAATAAGTCCTGTCCACACGGAGATGCTGAACACCTCATTCATGCCCACCTGCTGTCGTCTCCTGACACTTGTCGAAGGACCAGCGAAACTCCACCGCCTGTCCTCTCTCTTTGATCTGCTCTTCAATCTCCCTCACCTTGGCACGAACCTGAGAAGCATCACATTCCTTCAGATTAATTGCTTTGAATAGATGAAGAGCTAGTAGATCAGATTATGTAAAATCCAGCGAAGTCAAACCTGCTGGTTAAAGCTGCTGTTGCCCCCCGGCATGGGCAGGTTAGAGGACGCGATTGGCAAGAGGTCTAATGGCGAGCCGGTCTTATTACGGCTATCTGTCAGAGAGTAGTGCCAGACCAGAGCGCTGGGACAACACAACACGATACTCTACAGAGAGACAAACAGAATGAGAACAGTGTCAAGAGAAACTCAATGACAGGGATCAGAGAAACGCAGCTGGATTGACACATATGTGGCAGTACCTGCAGCATGCAGCTGAGTCCGAACACCACGGGCCTGTGCTGGGGGCAGATGTAGAAGTCTGTGAAGGGGGTTTGGGGCTGGTTGCCCCCTGCAGGCTGGGAGGTTGGGGTGGGGGGCAGAGCGTTCCCTTGCTGTGCTGAAATGCCGTGGGCCGGGTGTCCGCCTGGACCTGGTCCGAGACTGCCATCGCTCAGCAGCAGATTGAGCCGGCGTGTGCAGAAATATGCCAGCCGTCTAGATAAATAGGCTGACTGCACAAACTCTCCCGAGTACTGAACGAAATAAAGACAGGGTCAAAATAATCACACTGCATTCAGATAACGACCTTGTCAAGACACGCTCAATCCTTTATGGCTTCTCTGTCCTGATTTTGGGAGAAAAATCTGCTGAAATCTCTGGTAAGATTGTGTTAAACTAAGCTGAAAGTATTATACTTTTATCGTTTAATTTATGCATTTAGCAGACGCTTTTATCTAAAGCGACTTACAGTGCATTCAGGCTATACATTTTTACCAGTATGTGTGTTCCCTGGGAATCGAACCCATGACCTTTTGCGCTGCTAACGCAATGCTCTACCACTGAGCCACAGGAACATTCTGTTTCTATTCAGAACATACATCGTTTATATTTGTTTGGGTAAAACCGGGTTAAAATGTGACCACATTTGGTTTTCAACCACTGAAAATGGATAAAATTCAACAAAGTGGACATTGAGTCAGACTGGGCAGTATGGAGATATTTTTAATACTACTTGTAAAACTTTGGAAAAAGAATATTTATGGCACTTGGACAAGTATGTTCAATGCAAATGTTTTGATAGAGGGAAACAAGTTACATATGTGACCCGTGCTGGCAAAATGAGTGGGAATGCTGCTAATTTTGAGCTACAGGAAAAAAAAAGTGAAACATTTTGATTTTAGTCATATTTGAGGTTTTCACAAAAATGAGTTCATTAAACCATCATCTAGCGATCCCAATGCTCCAAATAGTACCTTTCATCCCTCGCTTCTCATGCTGACTGTCATCCGAAAGAGGGAAACAAGTTACATATGTGACCCGTGCTGGCAAAATGAGTGGGAATGCTGCTAATTTTGAGCTACAGGAAAAAAAGTGAAAAATGTTGATTTTAGTCATATTTGAGGTTTTCACAAAAATGAGTTCATTAAACCATCATCTAGCGATCCCAATGCTCCAAATAGTACCTTTCTCCCCTCGCTTCTCATGCTGACTGTCATCCGAAACGTGTGCGCAAAGGTGCTTCTGATTGCGCACAATCCGATAAACATACACAGAATTACAGTATTCATGCAAACATGATCTGTTACGTCTTAAGTGAACGTTCGCGGAACTGTTGGGGAAAAACATCTGATGTGTAACATATTTTAGATCCGTGCATTACAGTAGGTCTTAACATAGAATAAAAATAAAACGATTAAATTTTTGATAAATTGCTCATTGCGACTCATTTTGATAGCGCAGGTCACATTTATAGTTTCAAGATTATTTGTTCTTCAGACATTTCTCTTTAGAAGAAAAAAACATGAGCTGAACGCAAAGTGAAACCACATTTGGTTTCTAGCCACTGAAAATGTGTACAACTGAACAATTTACTCCTGAAGCCATATTGAGACTCCAATATCGTTGGAACGGAACCATAGAGGGCCTTAAAAATGAAGATGACAAAAGGAAAGTTTGTTAAGACCCAAAATCTAAAAGGACATTAAGATATCTTCGGAAGAATTTACTTCTTGAGTCACAGACATGCAAACTTTGGAGAAAAAACTTGGAAAGTGCTTTTTGAACGATCACCATTGGCACATAATGCAACAAAAGATTGATAAAGTCAACAGATTTTACTAACAGGCCTACCAATCTCTGTGTAAAAGTAATATAATGATGCTGCCATCTGTATGAAATCATTTTTACCCTCCTGTAATTTGCCTCTGGATCTCAGGTGAAAATTGTCATTTTGACCCTCCTCTACAAAATAGTGGATTATTCAGTAAATATACATGGATGACATTTAATATTTTGGCTTTTTTCTTCATGTATGCATGCGTTTCTTTCACCAGAAAAAAATATTAACAAAATCAATAATTTGAGCTGGGACCTCTGATTGAGTTGACACGGAATGACCCATTAAACATTAACTGAAGTAAATAAAATAAACTAATTTAAAACTATTTTATTACAGCTAGTTGCCAAATCAAATTTCAAATTTTTAAGTACTAAAACTACATACTACATAAATTAAAAATAAAACCTAAAATGTAATAAAAACACTAGTCTGATCTTCTCAAAACACTCCAGCACCCAGGTGAGGAACTCATGTCTGTCTAACATGCCATCCTGTTACACATGTGCACATACACACAATAAACAATCCCATCAACACATACAACAAAAACACTCCCCTTTTGCTAAAGACTTATAAATGGTCACAGCAGGCAGTATGATATACATATACGTGACCCTGGAGCAAAAAAGCAGTGTTAAGTCGCTGGGGTATATTTGTAGCAA